CACACACACACACACACACACACACACACACACACATGCACATACACACACACGAACACACACACACACACATCTTCAGAAAGAGGTTCAGATCTGGACTTACTTTTATAAAAGAGAAACACAATCTTCTGGAACACCTTCATGAAGGCCATGTTGGCGTAACAGTAGTCCTGGACTTTGTTCAGTAGCGCCATCTGGCTCTTCCCGCTCTTGGTGAGGGCTGCCAGCAGGGAGGTGTAGTGTTTCAGGTGCTTCAAGGCCTGGTCGGCAACAACCTCCTCCTTCTTGTTCCACTCCACAGAGTTCATGATACGACTCCAGACCTGAGATAAGAAAGTGGGTCTCCACATTACTACTACCATCATGATTTATGAATACAGGGACTGATTAGTCTTTCTTACTGACAATGTACAGTACAAATGTAGCAGTGAAACTGTACAAGTGTTGTTACTTTACTGAAATTACTGCATTATTATATGTAAACATTAGTACAGAGGGTTGTTATTATCATTTTTTTTTGTTACAAGTATATGAGAGAGAGAGAGAGAGAGAGAGAGAGAGAGAGAGAGGGGGATATGTCTGATTGTTAAGTTCCAAAATAATACTTAAATGTCTGTGGGATATAACATAATTTGTTGCAGCTTGGGGTTTTGTGAGCGAGGACAAATAATCACGACAGGACCCTCAGACTCATTAGATCAGTGATACCTCCATAATTAGTCAGGAATCAAAATGTGATCATCATTGGGCTTGTCCTGGATACTACTGACACCTATCAGCCATAAGGCAACCAATATTTAAAAATATTCATTATAGCAATATGTATAAACCACTTACCAAGACAACAGCTTCCTGCTCAGTTATAGCATGTTTCTTCATCTGTTCCTGCACCAGGACTATGAGCTGAAATATAGATGGCACTGTAGGCTAAGGCACTGAAGCCTAGATGGAGCCCCATGGCATTAAAATAATTCCAAGGCAACCAAAGGTTTGGTGATTTTGAGTAACCATACACATTTAAAATCAAACATCAATTATCACAAACTAAATTTTACAATTACGTCAACAGTCTTTTCTCACATTAAATTTTTAAAAGCTATGTTGGTAAAAAGATGGCAACTTTGGGGATTTTGTTTCTGGAAAATTTACGAAAAATTCCTAGCCTTACCTCTTTCACAGGTTCCTCATCCTTGATCATTGTATCTAAAGCCTTCAGCAATTCTTTCTTCATATTGGTGCTCTGCTGGACTTTCTGGAATATCAACACATCAGCTTTAATGTCTCAATCCATTAAGAGAACGGGATAAAAGTAACCAGAATTTTTTTCGTATTTTCTTTCCCTCCTTAAAAAAAAAACTGTACACAAGAATATATTTTATTCACGAAAGATATTTTTAAAGATATAAAATTGGAAAATTGGGCAAAAATAAGGAGCCACTTTTGCCGATGAACTTCAAATTTTGTTGCTCTACGTCTCAGATTTATTTATTGATAAATGTTCAGACTCCCCACCTGAAACTCCACAACCTGTTTTAGTCCAGCATCCATGAAGTGAGCAGCAAAGTTCTCCGATGTTCTTTTGTTGATTGGAATCAGTTCCTAGAAAGAAACAAATTAAAAAATAAATAAATAAATAAAATAAATCTGTTGTGGGGATATCCACATAACCATTATGCTAGTTACACATATGGAATGGGGCAAAAATTAATTGTCCATTCCTTGATTCCTTGGCTTTTAAGACTTTTTTTATGTCTATAATTACTATAACTACAGAAAACTTACCAGTAGTCTACTGTCCAACCCAGCCTTCTTCATCTCTAGATACAGTATGTAGTCCATATATAACTTACCAGTAGTCTACTGTCCAACCCAGCCTTCTTCAGTGCACCACTGAGGTGAGCCATGTCCCTCTCCTGAAGAACTGTGGCAAACAATACTGTGGCAAACTCCAGTGCAAGACCTGAAACAATGGCATAAATTAACAAATAAATTATCTGTGTATATTCAATCCAAACTGCTGCTACATATGAGTAAAAGAGTACTTCACCTAAATGCTGCTATAACTTCATAAATGCATATTCAACCCAAACCCACTGCTTCAGTTCAAAGTAGACATACTAACAAATTACCTGCATCAGTTTAATGTTAATACCTGTGACAGCTGTTACTTTCAACACTCATGTTACAAAGGTAAGTTGGGTTGAAAGTGACATGGTAATTACTTACTACACTTGGGTAAGCAAAGGAATATCTTGTACAATCAAAACACCTTTTTTAGCCTACTACTAGGGAGTATTTAGGTTCTGAAAATCAATAATGTATATTTCTCTTTTTGTCCCCCCCTCCCCCCACCCGAGTTGTCTCTTTTATATTTTATCTCTACCTCTGCTAAGGAATTCAAGTTTAACCTCTGTCAGTCTATTTGCTCATTTGTCACCTAACTCAAAAAGTTACGGACAGATTTTGATCAAATTTCTAAGACAGATTAGAAATGAATTTTCAACTTAAAAGTGATTCCATTTCGGTGATGATCCAAAATTAAAATTAATTCACGCTTAATTCTGAGTTAGTTATTTGTCATGGGTCTGTGCTTTCTCCCTGAACTCACCGTCCTTGACCAAGTGTTCATCAAAGAGATTACTGAGACACTGGGCACCTGCCAGGTTAGAGGAGATACACAGACCTATCATCATGGCTATCTTCTTCCTCTCCAGTTCTGAGAACCCACGCAGGAACAACAATAGCTGAGGGGGAAAAATCAACAAAAACATATAATGTATTATGTATCAAATGTTCTGAGAATTCTTACAAGAACAACAATAGCTGAGGAAAAAAATAATAATAAACCTGTAATATGTATTATGTATCAAATGTTATGAGAACCCTTGCAAGAACAACAATAGCTTGAGGGGAAAAATAATGCAACATTTTGATATTATGTATCAAATGATTGAATAAATAAGCAAATAAAACATTCTCATTGCTGGTAAGTGGATTTTTTGGCATCATATTAAAAAATTGTCATAGTAACTTTTAGGGCCTATTCCTAACAAGTTAATCTTTGGATTAATAGATGCACAGCCCACTTGAAAGCTTGCTGCACAATCCCCTAATGGAAACTGCAAGGATTACACTGTAAGCTTTCAGGTGGGTCAGCCATATTTGATCTGCGGATCTGATGGTCTGTGGATACAGTACACCCACCTTCCTGAGTTCTTCATCAAAGGATTTCTCCAGGTATTTGTAGCGCCTTATAAGCTTCACGAACACCTGGGAAAGTTGAGAACATTGGATATATTTATTATGTATTTAAGTGAAAAAGGTACAGAAATATATCAGGCTTCAAAAAGTCAAATATTCTATCTCAATACATGAAAAACAGACAAAAATAGTTATTTTCTATCAATCTATTTTCACTCGTTTATTATCATCATTATCATTTTATTTAATTATTTTTAGGAGGGGGAAAGATACAAAGAGAAAATATGTCAAATTGTTCATGAGAATAAATGAAACATTTTAAGGAGTTCTAGACCCACCTCGTGAAACCCCTTGAGGGATTCCACCGTGTCCTCGGCAGCAAACACGCAGATGTTACTGCACGACTCCTTCCCCGGCTTGGCATCTTTGATTATACTACCCCCAGGGGCTGAAAGTGGGGAGAAAATCATTATCACTATTGTAAATACATGGACTTCTACTAAAAATTCTATTCTATTCTCTTTGACTTAACCCTCAGACTCATTAGATCAGTGATACCTCCAAAATACTTTGTCAGGAATTATTAAATGATCATCATCGGGGCTGTCTTGACCACCAGAGACACCTATCTTCTGATAATACTTATCTCCATCCACTTACCTAACAAACCACCGGCAAACAAGATGTCAAACAAGGCATCCGCATACCCGCGATAGTTCAGTTTTGACCCGGCGCTGTCCAGATATTTGGAGACCTGGAATCAAATGGAAGAACTCCGCAATTTACAAGTGAAACATACAACAAGCCACTGTCACATTTCACAAAGAATCTCCAGATCAAGTTTTGGTCATAAGTTCCTTTGTGAAAGAAATTTTGACCAGAAGCTGATGTTAAACCTAAAATCATGGTCTTTTTTAACCAAGAAAAATTGTAACTGCTCCAATTATTCCAGAATTCTAGGCCAATAGTTTCTCAGTTTACATTGCTGGGGTAGCGCTAACACTCGCCAATTTAGCCAAATGCTAAAACTGACTTAAATTGGCTAAAGAAAAAGGTAACAAATTGACAAAAATGTGGTGATTTGGCTAATCGAAAAAAATTGCTAGCACTACTCCAGCATTGGATAGGATATTTACGGAATTGAAATGGACCGATTTTTGTCAAGTATTTTTGTCTAAAAAGGATAATTCTGAAAATGGGCAAACTTGGTTCTACTATGACTGAAATCATTTTCATGCTATGCCAAGATATTACTTTGAAATTAATGTTAATTGTAACTCAAATCAGGCAGGGTTTATAAATATTTTAATTAATTTTGCTCCCCAAAATGCAAAACAATGTCATTCAATTTATATTATGTAAAGCTGCATAAATCCTGGTCAGGAAGTTAATAAACAGTCAAGCGCATGAACTTGGCTGACAATGCTTCAATGTAGCCACACAAATCATAACTATACATGAGATCCTCCAGAACTGTGCTGAAGAATATCAAGAGTACGGACCATTAAAAAAGTAAAGCGCCACTCAAGGTAAATATGCACCATATTACTGATGTTCAGAAGTCCAGATGACCTTTGCACTCCACAGTGTACATGCACACACGCGTATGTGAAAACATGATCTTTGCTGAAATTATTCTAAAACTGGGAACTTACTGGTATGTTTTCTGATTTTAATTAAATTTCTGTCATGTAAGTGATATATTTCCAACCACTGGTAATAATTCCATACTTAAGAGCTTGAATCTTGAGAATCTTCATTCTGGATAAATTTTTGTATAGGTTTTCGAACCATTTTCTAGAAAAATCAGGCCAGAACAAGGCTTAGGTTGGAGGAAGGGGGGGGGGTGGGGGTGGGGTGGGGGGGAGAAATAGAATTCACCTCAAAGACCACATTCAGAACAGTGGACTAACTAGTCCTAGGGTAAAATATGGCCTACCCACTTGAATATATACTTCTCCACGGGGAATCTATTCGGCATCTATTAGCAGACAGCAAGTTTTTAGCGGGTCGCCAAAACTGCCCCTCAGACTAGTTAGTCCACTGTTCTGATTGCAGCCTTAGAATTTCATGTATGTGCGGACGCGCACACGAATTGGAAGGGAGTTTCAACCATGGCCCAACTCTCCTGCATGCTGCTAAGTTCTGTAAACGTTTGAGGTTAGAAAACAGTTCAGATCAATCCAACAAATTTAACTTCCATGTCCTCCACATGCACCATGTTAGTAGATCTTTTCTCAAAACCCACATGCGAATGGGTGCATGTTGGCGTTCGCATGCACATGCATGCCCTACCTCCGGGTGGCTGATAACGGGGCCAGCAAAATCAGGATCCAACGCTTTTAGCGCTTTCTATAAATAATACGAAAAAAAAGGAAAGAGAAAAAAGGAACCCCTAAAACACATACTTCAGAAGAGAAAATAAAACACTGACTGAGCTGCAAGACTGAACAGATACTTTTTGGAAAACTTTTTATCTCATGTTATTTATTCATTCATTCACTCCTTCCTGCCTTCATTCACACACATTGACCTCAACTTTTTAACAACACAAATCCTTCTAAGTATGAAAACATTACCAAGACAATCCCCACGAGTGACATGAATGAAAATTGGGGCCCCATCCTAGTGATATATACGTAGTCTGGGATGTTGTTATATAGGGACCATTCCCAAAGATATTTGGATTGATCTATCTCCCTGAGGAGTCTCACCAAATTGCTATCAACTCAACCAGCTTAAATGTCTGTCACGCCTAGTAAAGCTGTTAGGCGATAATTACCTTTAACCCCCTAGCTGATTCGGTGGGCGTGACAGACATTTAAGCAGGTTGAGTTGACAGCAATTTACTGAGACTCCCCAGGGAGTTAGACCGATCCAGATGGATCGATCTAGGCATGGGAACCCAGTCATAGATTTATACATACAACTACCAATTAACTGGAAAGTATACAAGATCCCTGTCACTGTTCTTGTCATCAACAGACCACACCAACACTCACTAGTTCTAGATTTCCTGCTTCATTTAGCCCTTGGACAACAGTGTCGCGGAATCCAGAAGGATCGTATTTCTCTTTTTCATCTGTGGATAAAAAAAGCATCACAATGACCATGTAGACTCTTAAAGAAATATAAATTATGCATCAGGAAAATGCGTTAACCATTGCTAAAATCAAAAACCTGGCCCATAGCAGAAAATCCTCTAAAGATTCTTAAATTGTTAAGATTATAACTGTGAAGATGATTTATAAAACAGGGGCGATTCCAGAGATCTTGTCTGACAGTCTTCCAAATTATCTTTCTTGATCCATCCTCAATTTTGACCATTTTCCAACAGGAAACATTAGATACCATCAATGTAAACTTGAAAATTTGACCATCTTCCGGAAGACCCAGAAGACCCCCTAAATCCGCCCCTGCAAAACAAATCATATGTCCTACCCCTTTTCCTGGTCTTGATCTTTTGACCCGAAAGTGTTGGTTTTTCTACTTTCTGACTCATACAAATTCCGAGGTGGATTACAGGCAAGTAAAATTAAAAAAACAAGTGGAGTCTGTCTTGTGATGTATTCTAAAAATAGAAAATAAATATCATGAAGATTTCAAATAAAAGTAGAAACTGTAACATGTTCAAATGGAGAGCTGAGCCTGATCTCCTGTTAGCCAAAATGCTAGCTAGACCAGTGATAGTGATTGCTCCTTTCTATTTGAAATGTGAACTACAATAAAACAAATCTTAACACTTAGAAGTTGTCTTGTGTGCTATATAAATAGATCCCCCCCCCCCACACACATACTAAAAATACAATAATATTTGTTCAAGTCACATGATGTCAGTGAGGTGATGATCATATCAATTTCTTAAAAATACTGTAAAATAGGCCAGATGACATATGCAAGTTTACTGCATGTGTTAATAAACTGAAATAATAATAATGATAACCCCAATGAGTAATACTTAACTTTTTGTATGATGATGACTCATAAAATACAATCAACAACAAAGACCTCCTTGTCTCAAAGAATTATCTGCATACCAAGGAGTTAAAATTTAACACTGTACAAAACTAGCCATGTGTTCTTTTAGCATCTTATCTACAAAGACGATTACGTTTTCATTAATATATATATATCTTAAACTTTAAAGTTTAAGAGTCAGTTAATTGTTCTAAATGGGGACCCTTTCAAGACAAACTGAAGATTATCTCACAATGCGTGTTTGAACAGTGTCTGAATCAAGGAACAAACTACACCATATTTCACCTCTACAAAATAAATGAAAACAGAAAACACAAATGATGATCTTTAAGAGTTACCAAGATGTGTGAAAACATTAGAGGTGGGAATAAACAATAATTCAATTTTGAACAAGCTTTGTGTTCAGTTATCCTGGAAGTTATAACTGACCAAAAAAATCATAACTAAAACCCATTCGCCTTTTGACAGGTATCTTACACTATAAGTCTGAAGTAAGGAAAGTTGTCTTACACCTTCTCAAGACCAAAAACTAAATACTCGAAGACAGGGCAGTGAAATATGAAATTCTCTCTCAAACGACAAATGGTTCAAATCTACCCACTTGTCAGCCGAAGTAGCTCACTATAGTGCCATTCACTGCAATTTTTAATCACAGTTTAGTACTCGAGATATATACCTTTATGATTAAACAAATAATATATCTACTTGATTTAAAACATGTATGACTCCATTCAAATGGAGACAAAAACCTTTGAAACCAAGTGTGATTCGGCTTCAAATTTTAAGTAAATGAAAATTACAAAATCCACAAATCTTTGCCCAGAAACATCCTCTTAACTAAAGAAAATCTTCACGCTATTTGGTATATAGATACATAATCAAATAGTGACAATATTCACATGTAAAATGCTAACAGATTTTACTTCGCACGTTTCCTCACCTTTGTTGACGACAAACAGACAGAATTCTTGCGAAAACTGGGGCTTGTCTTGTGACGCAGTGCCATCTACCGGTCAAAAAATAAGCATGGCTGCTCGAATCTTAGCACGCTGTGCTCATAATACAGTCAAATTTAAACCTCAGGTAAGTGCCTTGCTAGTGTATTGCCTAGAAATCATAGGTTAGCAATACTACTTAGCTAATTCTAGTTTTACATTTGATACTCTACACACTAAAAAAGTTGGCCTATGCATTCATTACTGGTTTTAAGTGGCTGTCAGCCTCTTTAATAATTTCTTCAACCTGTGGTTTTTAAACGTAAAAACCACCGAAAATTTTTTCAAAATGCTTGTCCACATTATCGCAAAAAACTTACCAAAATCGGTAAAGTATTTTTAAACGAATTTAATAAAATCGCCTAAAATATATATCATTTATAATTTATTTATGTTTATATTTGATAATTTTATCTGTATCAATTTTGGTAAATGTTAAGGTTGTTTCAATCCATAAAAATTTTCAGATATACTTAATATATTAGAAATATTTTTCTGCAGATTTTTTATGCTGGCTGTAAGTGTTCGCTGTCACCATCCAATACAATATGTGAGCCCAGTGTGTTAGGTGGGGCTGTTTTTGAACAATCCCGACTGCGGCACAACCGGTGGAACCACTTCAAATTTAGGAAACAGAGGAAAATGAAAAATGCTAAGGTGATTATAGTTTATCCAGGGGGTTCAGTAGTAAATAACTTATACAGATAGTTTGGTCTCATTCATTTCAAGATATATTCAAAGTTATCCACAAGTGTATATAAGTAAATGTTGGTCTGAACTGTTAAGCAGGTTTTTCATTGTCGTAAAAACAGCCGCCTTGTTTGACGTAATTTGAGGACTATAAATTTATCTGGAGTCAAAATAGATGGGCATTTGGTCTAAGATCCCATTAGTTTATGTAGATAATCCAACTCTGCGGGGACTCTTGCTGAGTGCAATCAGCTTAACTGAATAATCGACACACCTCCTGGCATTGAGAAGAGCAGGGCCCCGTAACTCTAAGGCATTGCACATTGCGAATAGCGATATCACATAGAGGCTACAATGTATTATATGGGCCGAGTATGGACGAGTTATGGAATCGAACTGCTTGCGTTTAGTTGCAGTGTGCGATGCTTTCGGGTTATAGTGGCCAGGTGCTTATCCAAGTATTTTGGAAACAAGAGGAGGCATGGACTCTAAAATTGAAGAGAAGTTTTCAGGAAATCGTCCCAAAAATGATTGTGCTTTAAAGCACTGTAAATGACATGTCAATTATGTTATTTTCTACCCTTAAGTATTTCTTTTTTGTTTTTGTTTTGGTCTGACAGAATTTTCAAGCTTGTCAAATTGAATGCCTGACAGATTTTTTGGCCTTTCGTAAAGTCTGAGATTTGACCTATCTTTTAAAAACCATTTTGAAAATGCAGCTAAAGCATTTATATCATACACAGACTGGTGGGAGTTATTAACTAACCCTCCAGTCGTTAAATTTTTTTTTACAGTTTCCTGAAGAGGATGGTGAAATAGACGATGATGGATTTCCCAGGACAGAAGAGCAAATTGAGAAAATGAAGGAAAGGGGAATTCCTCCACCTAAAGATTTTAATGAAATACCTCCATTTGACCTTAGTAGCACTGGTGAGTTGTGAACATGTATGATTTAGTTTTCCACAACAAATTGAAACTATATGGATAAAAAAAGAAATTATCTACAACTTACGAATCACTGTTTGACCATGCACTTGTATCCGATCATTTATATTATTTATGATAAAATAATTAATTTCCAAATGACTTGTCAGACCCTGAGACTGCTTTGTCTCCCTGTACAGAAGGAAATATAGACGCCAGGCACATTAATTTAAAGGGATAACAACTGTTTCTTTTTGGCCAAAAAATGAATTTTCCTGGAGTAATCAACTATTTCCTATACTTACCAATGGTTTTTGAATCCATTTCTACATTCAAAGTCAGTTCCTGTTTTTTATTCTAAAAAGTTTTTTTTTTTTTTTTTTTTTTTTTTTTTTTTTTGCAATAATCTCTTAAGAGATTATTACAGAGTATAGCCATCTATGGAGGTCACATGGTCCGATGGCAAGCACAGATTTCAGAATAATTGCTCTAACTACCAACTTTGTGGTAAAATAGTATTGCCTATATATATTATATTTCTATTAGTTATTTACAATGTCTTTACTGTGAAATATAGATCTTGTATGAAGATTTATCTATTTGTTTTTGTTTTGGTCTGTATTGTGAAAGATGCGACTCTAAAGTTTACTCTTAATATCGTATTACATAATAAAAATCTGCCCCTTCCACTGATGAGCCTGCCTCTCCCCCCCCCCCCCCCCCCCCACACACACACACACACACTTCCCCCATAGATCTTGCTGCTTTAGGGTTTTATATCTTCAAAGTTCTACCAAGACCTATGCATGATTTACAAGCCTTTTAGGGTGAATTTTTATTTTTTCCAGTCATGGTTATGGATCCATATGTTCCTCCAGAGGGAGATGGCAAGGTTTCCATATTGAGCAAAAAGGTCAGTTAATGCTATGAAATCGATATAATGGCTGACTGAAAATTTGTTTTAAAGATTGTATTACTTCCTACAGAGTCATGCTGTGGTCTGTATAAGAAATAATAAGAAACAATGTTAATCCCTTGGTGCATTTTATTAGGTCGCATTCAGAACAGAAAATCCTCGGACTTGTAGATCAAATATGGCCCACCCAGTCAAAAGACATGCTTATAATCCCCTGAGGGTCTCCCTGCCTGCAGGGGCATAGCAATTTAACCTCAGGGTCTCCGAGTGTGGTTGCGGCAAGACCATCAAGGGATTAGGCAGCTTCCTTTGATATGGGGTTGGCCATATTTAGTTCCACGTATCAGTAGGTCCGTGAATCAACTTTTCTGAATGCAACTTTACACAATCTAGATGGCAAAAAGGGAGAATTGGATGTCAATCATTGATAGCCATAAAATTAGGATTGCTTTGATGACATTTAAAGTGCACTTGGTGCATAAAAACATTTTGAATAAAAGCAGGGTGGGAGGCATTGTCTGTATTTTCTTCATGTTTGCTAAATGGTAAGATTATTTTAGCTAGAAAAGATGCATGAAAGTTTGGTTTCTGATTATTTTTCACCAATTTGTCATGAATTCTGATAAATGATTTTCTGGTATCTGGTTTGAAACGGAAATCATTTATTTATTTATTTTTATTTATTTACTTATCAATTTTTGTCCAGGGAGCAAAAGACAGGATGGAGAAACTAACCAAGAAGGGTACCCAGATCCAGCACATCCGGAAGATCAAGAAGTACGAACCTAACTGGTCTGCCCCCGAGTTTGCTGAAGAAGCAGCAGAGGTCTATAGAGAGGCACATGAACTATTGATGAAGTAAGATGAGATTTAAAAGAAAAGTTTTTATGATTTGTTCATTCATCTATCCAGTAATTTATTTATTTGGTTATTTATTTATAAATGATAAAAATAAAAATAGCAATAATAATAACACTTGTTATTATTGTTATTAATAATAATAATAATAAATAATAATGATAATAATTGTCATAAAAGTATGAAATAAAAAAATTAATAAAAAAATCAGTTGCGTTCATTGAAAATGTATTGCTGATGGGTAGAAGCTTCTTGGTTTGTGTGGAAGTTACCTCTAGGGATCATTGTCATATTGATGAAATAGGTATTTACCAACTGACAGTGACTGTTGACTGGAGGACCCTTCTTGAGCACTTGTGACTGGCATTTTTCACAGTTAAGGCAATTCTGGGCTTCCTCTGTAGCATTACCTTACCAGATGGTAAAAGTGTGCCATGCATGATTATTTAATATGTGTTTCCTTGCCAAACTTAACGGAGTGTGGGCTGCATCATGGTGTTTCAGTTGTCTTAATTAAAATTAATTAATTGTCACCAGGTTCCCATGGTTTAATTAATTAATTTATTTTAATAAACTTAGTTATTTATTTATTTCAGCTTCCAAGACAATGAAGAGAGATTGCATGATCTGATAACGACCAAAGCATGGAGTGTAAGTAGACAGCTTATTTATCCCCTTAAACATGAGATTATATGTTGCTGGTGGAAAATGATGGCGGGATTAATACGTCGCTGGTTTGTGGGCAACTGTTACGTTCACGAAATTCATATCCCGTCGTCAGATTAATCTGCATAATACAAACGCAGCTCTTACTTAGTCAGTGCGGGAGAATATCATAAATAGTTATTTAAGGCAAAGTTTGCTCATTTATATGCCCTATAAATTTTTTTACAACAGTTCATGTAATTTAAGGGATAACAACTGTTCATTTTGGCCAAAAAATGGATTTTCCTGGGGTAAACAACAATTTACCCATTCTTACCAATGGTTAATGAATCCATTTCTACATTCAAATTTAGTGCCTGTTTTTTTCTAGAAAGTTTGCTTTTTTAGTAATAATCTCTGCAGAGATTACTATAGCCATCTATGGAGGTCACATGGTCGGATGTCAAGCACAGATTTTAGAATAATTGCTTTAACTGCCATTTTTGGTGGTGAAATAGAATATATATTATTATATTTCCTTGAGTTGTTAACAATGTTTTTATTGTGAAATATAGATTTCACACAAAAAGTTGTTATCCCTTTAAGGTAACTGTTCTGCATGTTAAGCCAGCTGAGATGTGCGTTAGTTTTGATTTCTCAGGCACCAAGCCAGGGGTGATTTGTGAGCTTCAAACGAAGCTGCATTTTTGTTGGGAAAAGGTCAGTTTTGTCTAGGTACACTTAGTTTTTATATGTACACTGAGTACAGTAATGTTCCTATATGGCTAGCATACTGGGGGGTAAAAAGAAATAGGGGATTACTGGCTACATATACGTACAGGTAACAATCTAGCCATTGCATCCCACTGGTAACAGAAAACTCTCTATTTAGCATCCGAGGGAGTTTATAAATAGTCTGAGTAAAATGTGAGAGTTGAAATATATATTGCGGACATTCAGAATATTTTACACAATATATAAGGTAATGGCTGGACCATTGCAGTGGAAAAAACGCCAGTTTTTTAAATCATTAAAATACATTTCTTTGAAGCATTTTAGTCTTTACTGTATAGAATAGAAATTTTAGGTTGTCTTCTTTTTAACTGTGTTGCTACCACTCAATAGGAATGTTCTAATTTTAAGAATATATTTAATACTTAAAATAAAATACAGTATCTGTAATTATTAACAATTTGCCTTCTTGAAAAGATGGAGCCATTACCGCATTATATATGTATATAAGTCCCTTGTGCTTTGCATTCAGAGGATCAGTCTTCTTATTACTAATATTACAAACATGACACTTCCTTATTACAAAAATAAATAAATAAATAAATAAATAAATAAATAAATAAAATGAAAATAATAATAAATTGAATTATAAGATAGATTGATTTAGAAGTAAATAAAATGAAAATAATAATAATGATGATGAAATGAATTATAAGATAGATTGATTTAGAAGTAAATAAATAAAATGAAAATAATAATGATAGTGAAATGAATTATAAGAATTATAAGTTATTCAATTTCTGGAAATGGCAATTATTTTCAGATTTTTGTAAGATGTAATGTATATTTAAGACTGACAATGAGTACATAAATTGGCAAGACCAGGGGAGATATATCAAAATACATACATTATTACAGTACAACATTGTGTCGTGATGTTTTGCCATTTTTTGAATTGTGAAGTATCCATAACCTATTTATTTTTATTCTCATCTGAAAAGAAAAAATCAACCATAAATTTAAGATGTAATTTCAATAAGAGAAAAAGTTTATCTCTGTCGTGTTAGGCAGCAAATGACCATGTAGCAAAACAAAAGTTGTAGAAAAATGAATATCTTAAAAGAGATTACCCATTTATTTCATGGGTAATCGGCACCCGATGACCTGAAAAGATTTTATCATGCTATCAGACCAGGGTTGGCTGAAAGTTGTAACTTGCACAGTTTCCTCAATTCTGTCAAGTTAGATGTGAATTAATGTTAAATAAAACTCTTATCCAACTATTATTTCCTGGTGCAGTGACTTTAGTACAATGGCTCTTTGTTCAGCAGAGTTTTTTAAAGTACCTGGTTTCTCGTTTTCTGATGTTTTAGACCCCATTCCCATACCTACATCATTCCCATACTTAGCAGCTTAAGGGGCTTAGATGTCTGTCAAGCCTACTTGAGCTGCTTATTGATAGTTTTAATTACTCCCTCACAGCTTTATTAGGTTGCCAGACATCAGATCTGCATAAGCTCAATGCATTTTGGCCAGTAACCCTTCGGAGATGGGTCGATCTTGATAGATCGATCTAGGTATGGGAACTGGGTCATAGATCTGAATCAAAGAAAGGTCATGGTGTTACTTTTTTGGGAGAGGGGGAAGGGAGACTTGCTGAACCTGTTCTTAGGCTTCACTGGTTTTTGTGAAATTGGTGATATGGGGTGGATGAGAAGTGTTCTGTCCCCCCATTCCCTGAATCTTCCCCCCTCCCATCCCCTCCCCCTCTCAAAAGTCACTCATTCTAACAGACCACCCCTCCTTGCTTAATTGTTTTTTCTTAAGAAATCCAGTAACCAGGAGAAGAGGCCAGTTTTGCTCAAGATTAGATTGAAAGATTTTCTTTTTATTATATTTTTATTTTTAAGTTTTCATTTTTTATCGTTAACTGGTAACTGATTTGCTATGGAAGAAAATTATGGTAAAGTATGCATACACCACTGATTTTGATTTATTTTCTGGTGTTATTTTAATACATTGAACAAAATGTCAGTGAGAATTTACCTGTGACGTCAATAGTGGGTTGAAAATCCAGGCATCTCTAGTTAACACCTGAACTGATTAAAATGCTAAGAAAATGACTGCAAATAATTACAAATTATCATTTACGTCATTTTAGGCCACACAGAATGACATGCACTTTGAGGAATTTACATATTTCAGAGGCAGATTTAGGGGGGCGGGACCCCCTTTGATTTTTGGGAAAAAAATCACACCAATGGTCCCCTCTTGAAATTAGAATTTTGACTGGCTGAATCAGTTTTAATAAGCCATACCAAATGGCACTGTTCGCCCTCTGAAATCCCAAAATGTGAAGCCAACCCCCCCCCCCACACCAAGGGGTTTTGGGGGTAATCAGCTTTGCATCCGCGGACCCCCTCCCCTTCAAATAATCCTGGATTTGCCCCTGTATTTTATGTATTAACTAAAAAATGCATCACAGCAATGTTGACCTTTTTCATTTGTCTAATTTTTCTAGGACATGACGCATGGTCTCAAGTTCAAAACTTTGAGATGGGAATTTGTGGAGTCCGTGGAACCACCCGTTGTAGTCCATGTGAGAGTAGCCAACATGATAAATGATGATAATCTGTATGGTCAAGTCACTGTAAGGCTCCACACAAAACAGGTAGGTATTAGAATACTATCAGAATTGTACAGGCCCGTAGCCAAGGGGGGTTCGGGGGATTGGAAAGAACCGCCCCTTTTGCAGGGAAAAGGTCCACTCTGGGTAAAATTTGATCTAGGTACATGAAGTTTTTATGTGAAAAGGTCCACTTTTTCAGAAAAAGAACCCTCCTTTTGAAATTGCTGGCTACGGGCCTGTTTTATATTAATTTTCTACATTGTATGAATCAGAGATATGTGACATAAAGGGGTGGATTTAGGCCATCTTCTGGGTCTTCCAGAAGACAGTCAGATTTTCAAGTTTACATTGACGGGTATCTATTTTTTCTGAAGAAGTATGAATAAGGAAAATCAAGCAGCTTTGCAAGATACGTAAAACAGAAAATATGACTTTGGGAGATTTTCAGTTGTGGATAGTATATATCTTAAATAAAAATAGAAAAGTAACAATTGTTCTTGATAACTTATAGATGTAAATCAGTGATTTTTGTCGATATATTTCATTCATCTGCAATCTTTTTTTTCTTTTTCTTGTCATCATGATAAGTAAAGTATTGAATTCAATTAAATTTCTGTGAAATTTACTGGAGTAATTTTGTAAATGGAAGAAACTTTTTTTTCAGATTTTAGCCCTGTATGATCGCTTTGGCAGACTCATGTACGGCAGCGAGAAGCAAGTCAAGGATGTGTTAGAATACATCGTGTTTGAAACCCACTTGATTGATCCACATAGACGATGGCGAATTCACGCCAAAATCACCCCTGAGTGGGTCAAGCAAACGCCGCCCGTGGTGTTAAGAACAAACATTGAGCCTGAAGAAAAAGAAGAAGAAGACGATGAAGAAAATAAAGAAGAATCTGCACTGGTGGAAGGGAAATCATGAGAAAAGAAACTTGTTCAGACTGAAAAGATAATTTTGGGTCTTACTGATAAAAGATTTTGTATATAAAACTTTTGACACTGGAGAAAACTGGATGTATTACACTTAAGAAATTAACTGCGGGGCTTAAGTGTCCAGAAGTACGTGTATAGTTCACATTCAAACTAATGTATATTCTTTTGTTATATCATGTATTTGAAATATATAGCAGGTTAAGTGAACAAGCGCTTGTACATGAAAGAATTTTTCCAAAAACAAAAAAGAAATAAAACAACTATAATAATTATTTCAGTCTGTAATGGTTTGTTTTACTTCTGGATGTGTAAGTGTATATGTACCAGTTGATTGCTTTTATAAAAGATCGTTTTGTTGACGCCCAACTTTCTTTTCTGCTGTCACCGCGCCTCTGCCGTATTTAGTATCACGTCAAAGGCATGCTGTTACTTCAGAGGTGACTTGCCAGCGTCCTTTGGAACTCGGGATGGTTCATTGATGAGATATGTAAGAAAGAAAGAAAGAAAAATACACCAATTTAAACTGAGGTTAGGACAAACGGGTGATAGAACGACGTAGCGGAGTGCATTGGGTTGTGTAGTTTTCCTATCGCTATCTGCGTTAACTGTGCCTTGCACGAGCTTGCTACTCGCACTACGTCATAACATGGTGAAAAACACGGGGTGAAAAGGGAAAAATAAGGAACTAAATCTGATTAATTGGCATCTAACTATATATGTACCTATATGTCAATAACTGGTAATGTAATAAACTTGGTATTTTTAAAGTGATAAACTAGATCAAAAAAGTTGTTAAGTAACGATATTACGTACCAATATGACAATAACTAGTAATGCAATAAACTTCGTATTTTGAGGTTTTCGGAAAGTGATCCAAGTCGGGGATTTTTTTTTTTCAATTTTACGCTACGATTCACCCTTGCAAAATCTCTAACCTAGATATTTGCCAACTATGTTACTTAACTTGAGAACGTATAAGGATATTGTTAGTTTTCCATGCAGTATCTACGCTATGGATGTAAAGTAAAACTAGGAATGGTTGACGAAGTAAAGTAAAGCAAAGTAAAGTAAAGTAAAGTAAAAGGTTCTACATGTATCTCCCTTCTCTCCTCTACCACAGAATAATCATCTACAGAGGGAGATACATGCTTACTGGTTAATTTTATTTTTAATTCAATTTAAAAACACATTTTTCGCAATTGCACTTTTCAATTCTGTGACGTGGCAGATTTAAAATATTTATGTAAAGACAGGCGTTGGTTTAGTTTTACATGGAGTTGTAACTTGATGTGATTCGTGCATCCGCTAGGAAAGTATTAGATCCTGAGACTGTGTTTAGTACCTTCAATCCCGACTTATTATAATCCGTAAATCAGTAGGCTACCATACTAAATCCTGTTATATCAGATCAAAAAGTGGACGGTGACCAAGAATATCGCGCCTCTGTCGTCCTCAAATCATGGGTCAGCGAACTTGTCATTGAGGATAGTAACCTGTTGTTGGACTTATTACTTTGGGCGCTGTCATTTGTGTTTATGAGTCAACACACCGAATTAGTGATTTTATTATCTATAAGTAATAAACTGCTATAATATCTGTTATTGCCTTAAAAACAGTTAATGCTGCAATGATGAGCCCGGAGGGGGGGGGGGGAGGTCATAGACGTTTCGTGCTCCTCTTAAATAATTAAATTTATTATTGAATTTATAATTTACACCCCTCTTACTTCACTGCATAGAAAAATTATGTATCCGTTAGTCATGTGATCAACTCAAGATGTCACGTGGTGCATAACCAGTGATAATCATTATACATTGCGAAAGGCCATTGTGGAAAGAGCCAACCTGTTGTGTGATAAGGGGATTAAAGACGAGGTTCACTTTTCAGTTAGTTGTCCTCATTTTACTGATGAACGTGGTGAATTTTTTAATATTGCCAGACGTTTAATAACAATTTTGATTTCTTAAATGATAACGACAAGTTCTTATTTTTGTAGTGATTATATGGTAAATTAAGACCCCATTCCCATAGATTTTAGATCAATCTATCCCTGTGGGGAGTCTCGCTAGATTAATGTCAGCTAAGCCGGCTTAAGCGTCTGTCCCGCCTACTAAAAGCTGTAAGGGGGTAATTAACTATGGTGCGCGTTCGGCTGACTGCAATTTAGCGTGAACCCCCAGGGACTTAGGTCGATCTAAATCCAAATCTCTTGATCGATCTATATCTCTGGAAATGCACCCTTAGTTACCGAAACCTGCTGCCGATTTCTACAATTAAAAACTTTTATTTAAAAGTAACGTTTTCATGTGTATTTTAAGCCATATTCAGCTTCTCATAGTATTACATAGAACTACCATGTTTTATCGTACTTAATTTGTATTTCTTTTTTATGGGTGAGACTTAAATAAAATGACTTGATCTTGATCATGTTAATCCAAGTACCAGTACGGAAATAAATTGAATAGAATATGCACAAGTGGCAGCCTATATACTAAAAAATAAACCACCGCTATGTGGGTAAGTGGCTAGACGAGTTTTTCTGTGTGCGAAGGGCGGAGTTGTAGACAGAACTCTCCACCTCTCACGTTCATATGTCCCTAATGAACTTCATGTGTTCCACTGCTGTCTCGGTAAAGACGTTCTATCTTTACTGCTGGCATGTGCGGTTATATCTCTGTTATGAAATACATCTTACTAAGGGCTCGTTTCCGATTAAATTATCGTTCTATGTAACTCAACTCAACTCTGCGGGACTTTCCAACGTACTCGTATAATCTTCAGCTTTTCTGTATTCTCCTCAACGCCAGGAGGAGGCGTGTTAGCCTGATTGCATTCAGCGAGAATCCCCGCGGAGTTAGATCGATCTACGTGGAACGATAGTATCATTGGGAATGCGCCCTTAGTCTGGACATTAGTGGTACTAAAGCGTGCGAATTCGTCATCAGTAATTATTTTTGTAGTTATTTAGTTGTTTGTTTTTATCTTTGTCTGCGTGATTTCAATGGAATTTGTGTCACGCCTTAAAATTATGCATGAAAACGCGCCCGACATGCTTCACGAATTTTGACTCACGTATAAAGATAGCTGTACTAACAACTCCGAGATATTATTAGAAAATCTTCAGAACGTCAGCCCGTGGTACTTCATGTATAATTTTAACGCTACCATGCATTTATTTACGATAATAACGATAATCTAATAATAGCATTCATTATGTCTCATATAGCGCATTCCATGATTTATTTTAATGCACTTTACAGGTATTGATATAAAATTCTAAAAAATACAATAATAAAATGAAAGAAACTTAGTTAAAAGTTTAAAGAAATTAATCATAAAAATCTTTTTGAAAGATGAGATTTTTTTAGATACTTTAAAATCCTCATCACTTTCATCTCTTATATAAAAAGGAAGTTTGTGCTATAATTTTGGGGCATAAACAGCAAAAGCCTGGTCTCCATAAAATTGTTTACACTGTCTCACTATTTTAGTTTCAAATTGTTGTAAAAAGAGCTTTTTGTTTCCCTGTGTTTTTTAAACAGATGAATAAGATCTGCAATGTAACTTGATGTGTTTTTTAAGCATTTAAAACAATACACAAGACTTAAAATAAAATAAAATTAATCGCCGGATTGGTAGCCGATGTAGATCTTTTAAGAGTAGTTTGTTTTTCATCTTTTAAACCAGTCTAACTGCTGAATTTTAATTATTTGGACTTTCTAAACTTTACTTTCACTTGGACAAGTTTTGGTTGTTGCCACGAGAAGTAAATTACGGATCACCCCTACTCTCAATAGTAAAAGAGATGCAGACTAACAGATATTATTAATATGCTTTTCAAATTTTCCAGATGTATCAGAATTCACAAATCTCTCACAATGTCAGATGCTACCACAGACACATGCAAATGCGAACATTAGTTGTTGCAAAGTCAAAGGAAAAACAGATAATATCAGTTTTACTGTCAGATAGAGCAAGCTTGTAGGATAGCATCCCCACCCAGACCTCGTCAATTTTCTCAAAGGCTGACACCGCAGAGTAATCACACTATGTCCACGTGCAATAATAATAATAATAATGGCAAAAAAAGCGAAAATAGGAAACATGGACATATACACCGCTGTTGCTTCTTGCATTTTTTAATTTTGAAAAAAAAAATGAAAATCAAAAAACGTAATTAATTTCAACGACATAAATCCATTTTTGTCCATATACTATTAAATATACAGACCTAATGCATTTTGATAGCGTCTAGGAGTTTTTTCAACTTTTGTTTGACAGGAAGCCATAACAACGGCTCTCCATTTGTCTGGCGTAAAAAGCGTTTCATGATTGTTATGAGTGCAGCACGTGGAAGTTGTGTTTAATGGTCGTCTGCGTTCAACGATTGGCAGCATCGGTTGCATGAAATTTCTCATTGGCGTCTAATCTGTTTTTCTTTTCTTTCCATTTCCGCCCGGGTCCTAAATGCAAGGACAACACACAAAGACGAGGTTGATTTATTTCAACATATTTAACTCCGGGGTTTTTAATGCTTTGGAATAAACGCCCCGTCATACTTAAACGCTGACAGATTTTTTGTCCCAAAATGAGTATTTGCAACGAATATATCATGTTCTGTGTTGTATAAATTTGATTTTTATGGCCACGAAAAAGTCGGGAGCTTCCTGGCCTCATGACACAAATATATTTATTACGTGCTTTCGGATATATATCATCATCATTTATAAAGTTATCGTCCGCGTAAATTGTATGCATATTTGTTAACATCAAACATTATTTTCCAACTTGCTTTGACGCCTGATTAGACTAAAGACGCAGGTCAGCTCAATGCCCCTTAAACATGTAGTAAAGCGTCTGGGTCCTTATTTTTGACAGACTCCTGTTTTTTTTTTTTTTGACCCCCAGGTCTGGTCGGCACCGCATTGAATTACGCTGGCGAATAATCATGCAATTAAGTACATGTCTTTATTTTAAACTTTTTGAACATTCACTCAAAAGAGCAAGATGCAGGTTTACTTAAAAGATCGGGCCAGAAAAAAAAAAGAATTTCACTTGTAAGCAGTCCATGGGTTCATAAGAAACTTTGGTTATGCCTTGCTGAAATTTCCAATGCTAAACACCAAAAATGTCTGTTTACCAATTTGCCAAATTCTCCTGCAGAGAGGAAGTAAGTTTCGCATGCCCTCTGATACCACTGCACTTATGAACAGTCGATTCAGCAATTTTGTAACAGACTGTTGGCGACCCCTGTGGGCAGAGAGTAACTCCCCGCCAGAAACGATTCTTAGGGACCAATTAACAGATTAATACGCCTCCTCGCTTCCAACATACTCGTACAGCTCTGTTGTTTTCTAGCCAGCACCAGGAGGAGACGTGTTAATCCGTTAATCTGATTGCATTCAACGAGAATCCGGTTGAGTTCTTGCGCACTAACTATTGCGACCTGACACATTCTGAACGGGCCATTACGCACTTGGTCCGCCTCTCCTTTGCGCAACGCTTTCTTCACACCCTTTCTCCTTATTAATATCCAGATCATAATACGCTTAAGTTAAAATACCTGTGTTTTCTAAAACATAAGGATAATGGTTTTTATCTGATCGTGAATATTGATAGGTAAATAAAAATGACCTCGGGTTAATCTGGGAGAAAAGCAGGTTAACCGAAGAAGAGGAAGTCGTAAATAATGAGTGCGCACTTTTTCTGCGTAACAGGACCTAGAAGTTATAAAAGATAAACGGTAGTTTGGATCATTCTGCAAAATCACACCGTCATTTCCGAAAACCTCTCCCTTTTTTTAAAAATCGTGTTTGCTTTGTCTTCGGGTTCCGTTATTTGACACGCTGTATCCAAGGCGTAACCCGTCACGACCACGAGCACTTTACGAGAAGGCTGCTAGGAAACGGGCGGGGCTTGCTAGGCCTAGGGTGTAACGTTTACAGTCCACCTAGTAAACTTGCGTGCAAACGTTTACTCTCCAATATAACTGACATTTATTGTATATGTCTTGTACGCTTCGCCAGTAAGTGTAGCACCTCATCGCGGTCACAGAACCGCCTTGTGCTTTTTTTCCTTATTGCCCAGCCGCTTGCGGTTAACTACACAATGAAGTTACAAGTAAGATAATGACTCGCCTGTATGTGCGACAATGCATAGAACAAAATGAAAAAAATGATTCACGCTGAGTGGACATAATGAAGCGTATCCCTTCCTCGTATTCTATAATTATTATTTTCATGGAATACTTTTGATGTGTTTTTTAATTCTTGAATGCACAATTGGCGGGAAGCGAGACGTGCATCGTTAACCAAGCGTAACAAGACATACAAACCAGCTTATATAACCGACTTTATGAATAATATTCAGGGCTTTAAGAATGCTACATGTGTATGGAAAAATGGGAATGAATATATAAAAGCTGCAACGTAAGAAGAGGACCTAAAATGACGAAAAATTGTAAAGAAAATTAAATGATTTATCATGCTGTGTAATTATCATATGATTAATCACGCCTTCAAAGTGAGATAAAACAATAATAAGAAACAGGAATTTCAGATAAATAGCCGTGTGCGGGGGAGGTGGGCCAACCCAAGAGGACAATTATTCGTGGACAATTAGTTTTTGGGCGGGTCCTTATCTCTGCGGCACCTTAGGCATATCAACAACACAATTACAACAACAACAACATCAGCAACTTGTAAATACACCTCTCCCAGTGTGGTATTGGGATTTTACTGGACATAGATATTCCGATGTACTTGCTTTACAGATATTAAGATTAAACAATGGAATGAACAAAGGGTAAATAAAAACTCAGTGGACGGGCCTTACTAAGGTGACAAACACACGTTACCTCAGACAGAGAAATCTGTAGGGGTGGGGGTGGGGGTGGGGGTGGGGGTGAGGTGACCGCCCACTCTGTGAAGCAGGCCACATGGTGATGATGAAGACCCGCTATTAATAATTTAGGCTCAATTTACATGTCAAGCAGATTATATGTAAAGAACTAAAGACAACGGCTCTGTATATCCTCTGATTGACTTGGGGCTCGGGGAAAATTGTGCACCATTTTTGTGACTTGGAGTAACAGCATTGGGGGCACATATTAATTGTTCAGCCCCTCCACCCCCCCCCACCCCCACCCCCACCCCACGTCAAAGAGAAAGCTATTTATGAGAGCACGCACGCATGCATACACAAAGAAATTAAACCAACGCGAGTACGCATGTACCTGTTTACGCGCACGGTTACGCCCTTTTTAAAAAACCGCTTTGCAAAAGCAAAAGCTTGAGAAAATAAGGCCCAATAAACACAAATTCCCACACCAAAGGGGATAATAGAATCTTTCAGATATAAAGACCCCGATATAGGGTGATCCAAGTACAGTGGCTCTTTCTCTGGCGATACTTGATAGATGTGACTTGGTCCGAGTAAATCACCGCTCTCTGCACGGACCATATATACTGCGACGTCTACCCTGACCCGGAAATAAAGCAATGTGTTTACTCACGAAAACCACTTGGGGTTGGTTAGGAGGGTGAAGGAGGGGAGTAAATTGAGCCCCGTTTTGATACGCTGTCACCGGAGGATTATTCATACCGTGACCGTAGATAAAAACAGTTATCTTCAGCGACGCTGGGATTAGATTTATCAGCGAGGAGAAGAGTTGACAAGGGTAATTTGACTTCGGGATCGCGGAGAGGGATCTTTACAGCGTCTTTAACCACAGAGGAGCAAGGGAAACCGTAGACACGCACAAAACGCTTAATGCACTCTTAACGTCACATAAGAGATATCACTTTGAAGACACATCTGAAATCTAGCGACCACTAATAAAATTTTCAGCGTCGGAAGAGGACATAGTAAGTTCACAGTGTCCAGCAAAATGACATCGCTTAAAGAGGTGACTTGCGTCGCTGTAGTCCTGCTGAATTATGCTGTTTGCTCAGGTAAGAGGACACACATGCACTTGTTAGCCTAATTATTCTGTTAGCACACATTTTGTCGGTTTGTCCAAGGGCAGAAACGTGACTGACATTCTAAGACACGTTTTTCACTCATCTAATAAGTTAAACGGAGCGAGCATGTTTAGTTTGCGATTTCATGTTATATTATACTTGTCATTTGTGTGAATTTTCTCTTCCAATCAGGCTATCTCTTCCTCTCTCTATCTCTTTCTAACACACACAAATCCACACACACACACACACAGAGAGAGAGAAAGAGAGAGAGCGAGAGAGAGATTTGTTTTGCAGACTATCAGTCTTCACTGAGGACATCTCAAACAAGTTTGATCCAAAATTCAGAAAATCTCTTCCCATTTTTTTTCTAAACCAGCGGAGCTCGAATCAGTGGCGCGTGGCCGTGAACTTGGGGAATTTTGTATTGAACTGCGTGACTATTTCAAGCTAAGTGCTTTAAAGTATACATAACACACCTGCATGGGAAATTCCCGACGTCTTTTTCTTTAACGATCCAATGATCAGAAATCCGTCTTCTTGGAAAAAAAAATCGGGGTGGCAAGACAAATAGTGTATCAGCCTCCGCCCCTTCATAATCGAATAGAAAGAGTGTCTTAGCAGGGCAGGGGGTGGGTAGGCAGATTAATATGTGCCACACCCCTCTCGAAATATTGGAAACGCCAATGCTGTCAAAAAGTTGTAATGTTTATTACATTATTATAAATGATTTGTAAATAAAACATAATCCGAATGGAGCAGTTGTACAGTAAAAGTCAGCGCTGTATTTAATTAAGACTCATCAGTAAATTGTTCACTGCGTTCATATCTTGATGTTCTATGTTAAAGATAACCTCTAGCAACTGGTGCTTGTGTCTGCATATAAGATAAGGAGAATATTGTGCACGAATGTGTATGCGCTGTTGACATATATATAGGATCGTTCAACAAGTTTAAAGACAAATAGCATGCACTCAGAGCACGGGTATATTTGGTGATTAGGACGAAGTCGTATTTCTCTATCTAGATCTGCCGCACGCTGGGTCTGCAGTTAAAATAAACCTGGTTAGTTTTCTTTTAAACAAGCTGAAGCGCAACTGAATGTTTTTTTAGTCCTTTGTAAGTAAAACCGTGTTGCGGAACATGTGAAGAATTCACATGCTACAATAAGATGAAGTTTAGCTCAGCGTGAAGTTGACGAAAACGTGAAAAAAAAAAAAACATCATGTAAAACAACATGTTATAGAGCATTTATTGTCAAAAACATTAGAAGAGCAAGTGCATCCGAACTTATCCCCTCATAGCCCAAATAACCGGGAAGTACAAGGAACTGAAAGAGGAAGAGAATTTTCTCATAATTAACATATACCTTAAGCTCAAGCTTCCGTCTTATAAACTAAACACTGGGTAGAATTACAGAAGGTACACCTTGTTCAAAACCCAGCAGTGTTGACATTATCACCACGCAGAGCCAAATTGGTTGTAAACGAATGTTTTTGTTACGCTGTTTTTTTATGTTGCTCACTTCACGTGGCCGTCTACACGGTTTAAGGCATGAGGTTTAAGTTAACATAGCGTCTGATTCTCATTGGTGGAATAATGGGTCGATTTATTCGTACAAGGTAGTCCTTTTATTGGTTGGCCAAGCACGATGATTTCTTGTCCGTAAGTTGTCCTTCTACACACGCTTTTGGGTCGTGGATGCAATATCCCACTACCAAAACACATGAAAAAATATCATTTTACCAGTGTTCAATAGTAGATAAAATTAGACCTGTTAAAGTAAAACTTGTTACTATCTATATAGATGAAATTTCCATGCGTTGAGGCGTTTTGATACCTGTTCCAATAGACCCGTGCATTAATAATGCTGCAACAAGGAGAACAGGGGTTTCATGGTGGCTGTTTTAATCTAATGTTTTTATCTAATTGGATCGCAAATGAACATAATTTGCTCTCCCTCTCGTTTCCTTTCGTTTCTTCTTCATTTTACGATAAATAAATAAACAGCGACACTCTACTTCTGATTATTAAGGGGCGGGGATTGATAAAGTATTTGTTCCCACCCCGATTTTTTTTTTCTTGGAGGAGGGATTTCTGACTATAGGATTTTTAAAGAAAACGACACTGGGAATTTCCCATACAGGTGTATTATTTGTACTTGAGAGGACCTAGCCTGAAAGAGTCACGCACTAAAACGGAAAATCCCCAAGTCCACGGTCACGTGCCGCTGATTCCAGCTCCGCTAGTTAAGAAAAACACGCGAAGAATTTTTATAAATTTTGGATCAAGTGTTCGAGATAACTGCAGAGTAGACAGATCGTCTGCACAAAACAAGTCTCTCTCTCTCTCTCTCTCTCTCTCTCTCTCTCTCTCTTGTCCTTTGCCTGTGGCATTTTTCGTTTTGATACTCCATGCACCATCTATGCACTCCCGATATGACAGATATATTCATTACATACATGTATAGCTGTCATTTGAACCCTTGGTGGCTTCTCTGCACTCTACCAATGTGTGTGCTATCTTTAGACCTACTATCTGGCCTCAGCATCTCAAATAGTCCTTTGTCACGTCCTATTAAGCAAAAATGTTATCTGTCATCGTTTCAAACTACAAAATTAATATGGTGCACTGATGAATGCAGAGATTGTGCTCACACAACATACGAGTTTTCTATGCATATATGCACGTGGAGTTCAAAACGTGGACTTCAAAACGGCGCGTTAATAATTAGTCAAAATGTCTTAATATTTCTAGCGTCTAAGAAATGACAAATGGTTATCGATTCAGCAGTATACCAGCGCGTCCATCCCTATAAACTTTATGATATGCTCTCTAGAGGTGATTTGTTTTTTAAAAGGATGAAAAAAGCGTAAATATTGGGAGTGGCCCATGTCACGTGACCGTTACGGTGATGTCCAAGATGGGAATCGACACTTAAAGAAACCTGAAAAAGAAAAAAAAAATGTCTAATAACGGTCTTGGCAGGAACGCTTAATTGTCTTTTGTGGGAGTTACGCCCCCATTTTGTCCCTATGTCCTTCTTGAATATTGGGCACATGGTATTTAAGTAATGGAAATGCCCCCCCCCCTCCCCCCACCTCTTCCTCGCTCTAAAACCATGGCAAAATGAAAATACATGTTTTCACCTCGGATTGCATTCTAGCTTATTGATGAACATTGCTTGTACAGGAGAAGTATTATCAAAATAGAACCTTTAACATGTCGCCCTTTTTGTTTCTCACGATTCAAAAATACTTCAGACACAAAATGTTGGAGAAGTTGTTGAAGAAAGGCAAGGACGACCGAGACAAGGATATGGCGCTTAGGAAAAGTTCATTTCTAAGTAAAGTATGTTCTTACAGTATAAGTTTCCAATAATTAATTATCACGACGCCGTGCGATAACGATACAAAAGCGTTGACAAAAGCATTACCCGCACCTCTCTCTAATCACGTGCTGCTAACTGACACCAAGCGAAAGAAAGAGCATTCTTAAAATTGGGTATTTTTGAGTTTATAAGTATTATAAGATTAGTATTTCTGACATGTTACCCCTTTGATTTCACTCTACGGGAACACTGACGCACGTGGAAGTTCTTTTATTTTCGAGTCAAATTGTTTATTATGCATACATACTGTTGAGGTAATCTTTGGACTATTTACTTTATAAAGAGACCCATGATGTAAACAAAGAACGGTTAAACAACGGTTGACACCGGTCGTCAACAGGTCGTTCAAAACAATTAATAATCTTTATTTACCCAAAAAGTGAAAACACTGGTTCTAAGAATTAGAAAGGTTATTAACATTACAGTGGACAACCGCTGTGTCATCTTCCGCATTGTCGTGAAGGCCTGTCACCAATGGCCCGTCACCAGCGTCTGTCACCAGACCACAATTACTCACACAGTGACCCCCCCCAAGTTGACACTTCACTCTGATAACATGTTAATCCTAGCAGCGCGTGCTCCTCTGTTTGGGCGAATGTGTGTTTTGTCCAACTTTTAGCACAGACAGATGGTTGTCTTTATTTTGTTACATTAATGCAGAAAGCAAATTAATTATTTTTTTAAATTAAAAAAAAAATTAATAATGAATTAAGTGCTCCACTGTTTGGGTGAATGTGTGTTTTGTCAAACTTTTCGGACAGATCGACCTTTAAAACAAAGTCTTATTTCAATAACAAACATTTCAAATCGAATCAATATTGTTTTATTTCCTTTTATATCATATTTGGCATTTTGTAAACACACTTATAACATTGACATTGCGGGAAACTTTATTGTTGATTTACGTTCTTGTATTTCACATTGGTTGTGGTTGAATACCAAGTGAAAACATATATAACCTCAAAGTTAACCGCACTTTATTATGACCTCGAAAAAGACCATTCGAACCAGCTCCAAAACAGGAAGAAATGACCTGGGCACGTTTTAAACCCCGCGTGCCCAGCACGATCTTCCGCGCTGAGCTTCCGCGAAGTCAGTTTACGTAAAAGTCCGGAAACAGCCGATGTTTCGCTTCCGAACACATCTGATTGGCCTGTTTGTTTCCTTGCGTTGTTCGATACGGTTGAGGATATAGAGTGTTTTGATTAGCAAGTGGCACGCATAATTTCTGACCCGAAATATTTGAGGTGGCAATAGGAATAATAGTTTACGCTTCGTCACACTAAAATATTATCTCTGTTGATCGAGCTAAACAAAGGGAAGAATTGGAACGAACCTTATTCAGCAAATTTCTGATTTAAAATACGGTGTTTTTGGTCTGCAAACACAACTGTGCAATCGCTCTGTACTAGGATTAGTCTCTCTTATCAAGGTGATACACACCAAAAATACAACTGAAAAGCTCTTTATTATTAACATGTAGGTATTAGTCATCAATATGGCGACGCTGTGTTAATTAAGCTTCTGTTTTTGATTTACTGACCCAGGGCAACTTATCAGACGGTACTAGCAGGATATGCGAGTTCATGCAATATTCAGTAAAACTTGTAATGAAGAAAGAATGCCAATAAACCATTATCCCCGAAGGCAAGGTATCAGAATTTAGAATAAATAACATTTTAAACCCGTGAATAAGTTAAAGGTGTTCCAAGATTGAGGTAATTAAAGCTTTATTGTGTCAACCCTGTCAAAGGTGACTCTATTAACATTGTGTGTCAGTGTTCCCGTAGAGAGAAATCAAAGGCGTAACGTGTCAGAAATTACCGCATGCTTGCTTATACTCTCACCACTACTAGTCATCAGACATTAGGCTTTACATTTTTGTTTATAATTATGGTAGAGTAACCGGCTTTTCTAATTATATGATTCCATTTGTACGATTTAAAATGTAATGAATACTGTTTCGTTTTGTACTTGATTCATTAGTAATTCTTTTAAATTAAAATTATTATTTTGCATTCTGCATTATTAAAATAAAATAATGACAACTGGCCTTCTGTCTGTCGGTCAATCCTTAAGAATGTCTGAATGATAAACACTACCACAATTGTGTTCTTTGTCAGCCAGCACGAGTGTTTTCACTTCGTGTTTTCCTCTTCCTTTTTTGTTATCAGACCATCTTCACCTTATGGTTGTCGCTTGTTAACCCTAAGAAAACTGTCCGTGGGTGTCCTGTCAGTGGGCTCTGTTTTTCAGTTGCACCCTGCAAGACTGATAGGGGGAATGTTTTACTTCCTCAAAGCCCGTAGTAACCAGGGAATCTTTATCTGTTTAATACGAACAGTATATTAGAATTAATTCGAAGCGGGAGGCATTGGTGAACAGTGAATGTATAAAGGAGTTTTATTAACAAATTAATTCAGGTGCTTTGAAAAATACAGTTGATAGAACAGTTTTTTCGTATTAAACAACAAAAAATAATATCAATATATCAAAAAGACGAGAGAGAGTGAGAAAAAAAGAGAAACAAGCAGAACAAAAACAAAGCAATCAGCATATTAATCAATATCACATCTTCATCTTTTAAAATTAACACCCACATTGATGTTTAATGGGCAGCTGGGTAAATTTTCTTAAATTCCTATATATGTTCTTCGCTAATCAATGCAATGTTCCTATCGATATTTTTTCATGTATTTTTCTGATCTATTACCCAGTTTGGTCAAGCTGCCCCCCTATAGTGAGTAGAGCGGAGTGGGGAGCCAATCCCCCGGTTCAAGTCACCAACCTCACCCTACCCGTGGAGTACATCGTGGTGCACCACACTGCCTGGGACAGGTGCTTTACAGAGGAGGACTGCGTGAAACAGGCCAAGAGAGTACAGGTAGATAGGATACTAGAATACGCACACGCACGCACACGCACACACACGCGCAGGCAGGCAGGCATTTATACACACACGTGCGCACGAACGCACGCACACACATACACATAATATTAAGCCAGTTTTACGGAATATTGGAATACACATGCGCATACACGCACGCACGCACGCACGCACGCACACACACACTCACACACACTTAATAATATTCCAGTACTGTTTTATAAAGTTTCTCCTCTATAAAATTCTACATAATTTCTGACAGTCACATTGTTGATTCCTCTAGTGTACTGTTACTGAAAGTGTACAAAGTTTGTCCTACCTAACCCAATCCCCCCTCCCGCCGAGATTATTGTAACCACAATATAAAATGGCCATCTCGCAATCTCATAGGTGTGAAAACGATTCCAAAAACGCGGAAGTCTACTCCCCTTACTAACCAAGTCGCGGGCAATGAGAGAGGACACGCTATACAGATGCATCTAATGACCAAGTGAACGTCAAGAAGACCTACGCTTTTACGCATGTGTGCTCATCGTTTTGATAAAATAGAGAACATTTGGAATAACATCTTGTTTGTCATGAAATCATGAATGAGAAGAAATTGTTTGTCTTAAAAATTTTTGATCGTGTGTATGAACGTGTGACGATACTCCCACACCGATGTTTGGGATTAATTAAATATCAAATCAGATCTACACATAATCACACCCTCCTGTTTATGACTGTACTGCATATGAGATGGATACATAAAACCACAGGCGATAAACATAGGTGTTCCAAAAACGACAATTATATTTTTTTTTTACATCAAAAGTAGTAAACAAGTGAATCAGAGCCTCAGCAATAATTGACCGGGAATGATATTGATAAAGAGTAAAAGAAACCCTCTAATAACAATTTTCACCTAATAACGGCCATTTGCCTCACAGATATGCTGTACCCCAATTATACCTGTAACAGAATATAGACATTTGTCAATGGTGGGACAACTAGTCGCTGTGCGCAGATTTCTTGGCACTGTAAGCTCACGTTAATATGAATATAATGTGGATTTAATGAGTGAATGGCAAGATTGGTGTCTTTTAATTCCTCCCCTTCAGATTTAACGTGATAAGGAATTCATATATATGCGACTAAGATTTGGTTTGCATGTATTATACTGTTTGAAACTGTGACCGGGAAACCACACAAATTTGGTGCAAATGGAAAAATTGTGAATTATGAAAACTGATAAGAATTATTGTTAATTTGCGAAGCAGGCCGCCCTAGAAATGGGACCCAACCCTGCACCCTGTAGCGACCTAAATCTTTATCTTATATATCCACACAGCACTTCTGTCCTTTATAACCGTGTGCAGCCATAACAATACTCTTCATGGAAGGATATAGCTCAGCCTGATAGGTATTTAGATAGATACCCTTGCCGAGTAACCATTTCAATTCTTATCTGATTCCTCGTCTAAAATGAATGAAAAATCTAATGTGAGTAATTATCCCTAATATCTCCACTTTATGGGACCACAGAAAATTTTATTTCAAAGTGTTTCGTCAATTATCCATGCTTACTTTAAATTTTTGTAGTAGGTTGATCGTTCGAGTTTTCAGACAAATTGCAACAACTTTTCCTTAAAATTCATGCTTCACAATTTTTATATTTTAAACCAGGAATTATCATGGTCCATATGTATAACCAAAATAAAGATTAAAAATATTGAAAGACCAATTATAGACCGGCTGAAGTCTCCCAGAGGAAGATGCAACGTCGTCAACTTTAAAAAATCGGTCCAGTAATGGATTTTTTAAAATTTAAAAACAGTTATATCATAAATAGACTAATCGTTTCTTCATTGTGTCTAGGACTATCACCAGGGAGACAAAGGGTGGTGGGACCTCGGGTACAACTTCATGGTGGGGGAGGACGGCCGTGCCTACGAGGGCAGGGGCTGGACGTCCCAGGGGGCCCACGCCAGGGGATTCAACTCTAAGTCTATCGGTAAGTACAGGTGGATTCACGTCAGGATTATCTAAAACCGAAAGTGGCGTTAAATTGCTTAATCTTGCAGATTGAAAAAGGTTGCAGAGAAAACTCCACTGCGCATGCGGTCTGGTCACACGATGACGCGTTTTCGAGATTATCTGGTTGGAGATGACCTTCAGAAAATGCAGTTTTACTGAAAATAAGATGTTTTGATATTTCGTGGTATTACGACGACGAAATATATTTCAATTATTTTAAGTTCACGATGTATGGTTGATATTTGGTAAATTTCAACAGTAAGATCGTTAAATCGTTAAGTGTGACTTACGACTTTATATCTAAAACGGAATTTAATCATTTAGACATAACACAAATTTATATTATAACAATATTAAGATTTGATTAAATTACCAGGTATTTGGGTTGATATTCAAAGTAATAATTCTTCATTTAGGCATCACTATATTTGGCGACTTTCGCTGGGACATGCCCAAGAGAAACGCATTAGAAGTGGTGAAGTCTCTCATCGCTTGCGCCAAAGAACAGTAAGTCGACAACAGATGCAACAATTAATTATTTTTCAACACAGATTTTGAAAACAAATTATCTCATTTAGTAAAGTGCATTTGGATTCTGATGAAAAACTCAGTTCTTGTATATTTTATGTACTGTTGTAAAATCAAATTTCACTCTCTGTCTCTAGTACTTCTTATAAAACTTATGAATACCATCAGATCAGCAATCCCGACAGGTTTTTTTAAAAGCAAAATGGACCTTTTTACCTCTTGAGTTGAAATTACTTTATTCAAAGCGGAAGTTTCGCCATCAAAAAAGGGGTTCTTTAACATCACCAGAACGCCACTAGCATAGAATTTATATGATATTACTGTTCGGAGCCAACCATTTTCGGACATAAAGGGTCTTTCTTGAACCCCCTACCCCCACTCTGAACGTCACTCCATGCCTTCAGACCTGACAACTAATCCTGTTTCGTTTTTATTTTCACAGGGGCGTTATTCAGGACAACTACACAGTGATCGGTCACATGCAGGCAGCCACGCCCTCCTACACGGAGTGCCCGGGGGGAGAACTGCTCTGTGAGATATCCACCTGGGACAACTGGGTAAGTGGTCAAACAGGTTCTCTATCAGGCCATTTACTATAGGGTCCTATAGGACGTCCAGTGGGAAATTGGCCCAAAATCCTATAAAGTTCTATAGGACTTATCAGTATGTTTCCTATAGGACGCCCTAAAGTATGTCCGATATAATTCCTATAAAGTTATATGGAATTCGTATAGTGTCCTGTAGGAATCAAATATAGCCTTATAGAGTCCTTTAGGATGTTCTTTAAAAAAAAGTGAAGGCCACTGGCACCATTTCATAAAAGGACTCAATCACAGATTGATCGTAGAAAATATGGATAAATTTTAGTGCATATATGTGGCATCTTGCATTAGTTTGAAAAAGACAGTAGAGATGAATTGGCGTTTTAGACATAACGTTTTCCTAGCGTGATTATGAATTCACTGTCTTACCAGCTATCTTAAATACATAAAGAAGTTTGGCAAGTGAATTGTACAAAATGTTCATATTGTAGTTTTGAATACAAAAATATATGTTTTCTTTTCAGAAGCTAATCAGAAATTAATTCAAAAGAGTTACCAATTACATAAATACGTGTACTTTTATAAATATGTTTTCTCTTTTTAGAAACCTTTCCAATTCAATGGTACCTTCACATTCCCGGCAAACTGTTCAGAACCAAGTACGGGTCCTTCTAACTCTGCAAACACGCATGCGCACTGTGCCAGCTATTCTCCGATCCTCTGTGGCTTCCTGTCTGTCCTGCTTCTCAGTTTAACATTTTCGTACTCTCGAAGCTGCTGACCTTCACCTTGACTTTGTATAACGCACGTCACTGATTGGTGCCATTTAACATAGCACAATGGAATCAGCTAATGTCTGCGAAGAAACAGTATACTTTCTATCAGTATATACCCAGTTACTGAGACCATACCCTGTACATAATATCAGAGCACATGTTATAAATTTGCTATTATTATTATCATTTTACTTCAAAGACCTGAGTGCATGCCAATACTAGTCATGATTTAGGACATGTTCAAATTAGCCAATGGTGTGCCTTAATGTGATCTCTAGCGCTGATGAAGCAGGTGCTTGTTATGGCTGAGAGTCAATATATATGTCAAATATATAAATGAATGATTGGTAGTATTAACCATTAAAACTGCACACAATATCTGTGCATAGAAATGCTGCATATTATTTATAGCATGGGCTTCACTGAAATTGTAACAATTTTCATTAAAAACCGGTGATGATTGTTTCTGCTAATAGAGGTCGACACAATATGCATGTCCCGCGATGTACATATACCATGCTTGAACAAATCAAATGCCAATGCGCTTCAAAACGACCATGTGCCTGGCTTGCAATGTGTGTTGCGATATGTTGATGTTAGGTGTGTAGTAATATCACATATTTATGCATTTTTTCAACAATCTTTACATCATTTTTGTCTCTGTGGGCATTTTTCTCAGTCTGTGTATAGCGTAAGTCGAAGATACAAGGGAATCTACAAAGCTAAAATTTCCGAATAAAGTCAGGCCTGGTAATAATAGGATATGGTATAGTATCAGAAATTGTGTGAATAAGCTACACGCTCAAACGTTTATGTGTTGTAAAGTTTTTATAGGGGGTTGAATAAGTTTAAAATGTGAATAAGGGTGATTTATTTTAGATTTATAGTTACATGGAGTATAAATAAAGATCTTAGTATAACAAAGAGCAGACCACACTTACCCCATGAGCCAGTAGTTTTTTTTTTTGTATATTTTTGAAAAAGAAAATTGTAAAACATTCCATTTGTATTTTGTATAGATAGAATTGTATAATTTAAGGGCAGGGAACATCAGAGACATGTTTGAATCTATTCTTATAAGACAAACGACAAAACACATTGTGTCAAGTAATATTTGTTTGACGTATAAAAATATAAATAGCAAAAACAAGATATAAGAAAATAAACTTACACGTGTTGAAGGTAAACATCCATTTTATGTGTCATGATTATTCGTTAATCTCTCGTGATTCGAAGATTTTGTCTTTATAGTCCTTTCCAAACAGCTAAAAAATAACATAATTACCTATTAAGATATGGTAAATGTATTCAAAGCACCAAAACACAAATAAAATTATCAAAATGATGCAGAAATGTGTAAAAAGAGGTGAATTAACGGGGTCACTGGCTGTCTATAGGGCACACACAGCGAAAAAAGCATGTATTGTGGTTAAAAAACAGGTGTAATCGTAGTCATTCATACGCACAAAAGACGATCATAAATGTCAAGATTCTTGTCTTGAAATGCAGAAAAAATTGCATCCCACTTCATGGATCAACGTGACATCTCCTAAATGGTACTTCAAGTGTTATAGCTATAGAAAACGGTTTTATCCAACGCTATTTAAATAAGAAAGATTTGCAGATGAACAATTTGATTTTGACCCAAATATTTTTTTTAAAAAATGTCATGATTACGATAAATCAGATGGTTAGTTGACAAAAAAGAAAGAAATACAATATTTTCTATTGTGAATGTTTATTCTCAGGCGATGTATGCGATTCTATAATCAGTAGAAGTAAATGGGGTGCACGACCGCCAAAGTCAGCGGAAGTCAGTATGACGTCGCTTCCGGCACAATATGTCGTCATTCATCAAACCGGCCTGGGAAGATGTTTTGGCGACTGTAGCTCTAACGTGCGGCAGGTTCAGGTAGGCACTTTGTGTGAATTCGTTACACAGTGATATAAGAAAAAATGTACATTTAACCATCATAAAATCGTATCAAATATTAACCATATTAGTCGTAATTAAACGTCTTTCTCCTGCATTCTCTTAATGTCGTTAATGTTAAATCATTGCTGGGAAATGTTCTTTGGTAATCTTTAGGCGTTGCACCAGGATCAATATGGTTGGAATGATATTGGTTTTAACTTCCTCGTCGGAGAAAATGGAGGCGCTTATGAAGGCCGAGGGTGGTATAAACTAGGACAACGTGAAGAACATTTTGACTCACGCTCACTGAGTAAGATCATGATACCGTTAGATATAATGCATTATAGTGTATATTCATATCAGATTTCACTGCCGATGTCATTCATCCTATAGACGTTTCAGGCAGTAATAGGAAATACATAAATAAGCTTCCCTACCCAATTTTTAAGCGAAATGTATTCTTATATACCTATATCATTAAAGTATAACGTCTAACTAAAAAATAATTGATTTTACCGGCCCTCCCCAACACAAATATAGTACCGGTTTGTTTCCAACTAGATTAATCTCTTCGTTTTTCAACAGGTATAGCATTCCTTGGTGACTTTGAGAACGTGACTCCTATGGCGACAGCTACCAATGCAGTTAAACGTATCATACGGTGTGCCATTAAAAAGTGAGTACTCACTGCCGCTAAATAATTCTTTTGGAAACTTCAGAGTGTAAAGCTTCTAGTAAGCCCCCTACTCTTTTCCAGTGTGACAGGAATGGAAGTCCGCTAGGAACCGTAGTCCGTCTCTCATTACCTTCTACAGGTGACATTCGTCCCACATACTAACCCCAATACTACGAATAATCCTAAGCTGTACTAATCACTATGGGGACCCCGGACTTCCATTCCTAGGACTACCATTCCTGTCACTCACCGTAGCATACATATGTCAGGAGAAAAGAAAGGGTGTTTTTTATTTGATCTCTTGACAATGTAATTTTAAACGATATTTTTAATTCAAAATGTGAGAGGTGGAACATTCTTATGTAAAGTGTATTTCTCCATACAGAGGTATCCTTCGAATTGACTACACTCTCATCGGATACACACAAGCAGACGACATAGGACAGACTGCGCCCCCTGGCGGACGTCTTCTTTGCACAATATCAAAGTGGGATCACTGGGTTGGTAGTTTTATGACAATCTTCAAAATGTTCAAACCTTGTAAGATACATGAAAATGTCCAATTATTTTATGTCTGTTGCTTTGATTTCTTAGGACAACGGTTAGTTCATTTTTTCATTATCACAATAAAAGATGAAATAGGAGCTGGCGTATCGTTGTCAGACAATATTATTATTATGAAACTCTTTTTAAAATGTGAACCTGATTCTGTCAACGCACAGTATCACTTTGAAGCAAATAATAACTTGTATCTTTAGGTATAAAAATTCTGTCAACGCACAGTATCACTTTGAAGCAAATAATAACGTGTATCTTTAGGTATAAAAATTCCATTTTTGTAAAAAATGTTGTACAAGATATTATCGTTTATTACATTGTTTTCGTATCTTGAAAATATTACGAATGTATGTTTTTGTCATCATTTGTATATCATTTCAGAGACCTGAGCAGTATAATGGCGTCTTCCGGTTCCCTCCACAATGTCCGCGGGTCATCAGTCACGACCAAACTGTGAAAGCTGCAGACGCCTCTAAAACGATGACAGTAAATGGTGAGTCATACAATTTTGTAGGATCAGTAAAATACTGTTACATACGTGCAAACATCAAACATATTTTGAGAAACAATGTAAATTACAAAGGAAGGAATGTAAATGAATAGCTTCGGTATTTGATTAATTTATAAAGTAGAAATTTAATCCAGTAGTAACAGCCTTTCCATCCCATTGATTTCTCATAGACGACTGCCCGGATATAGTAAGCAGAGCTCAGTGGGGGGCCAGACCCCCTACCGAGATCACGAACCTGACACTTCCGGTCCAGTACGTTGTGGTACACCATACATCCTGGGACCGCTGTTTTACTAGGGAGAACTGCAGCGCAGAGATGAGGAAAATACAGGTGTGTGATCCACAAAACCTCACATGTATACTGGGTACAAGACGTGTTATATAACTAAAATAATAATATCAATATAACTTAATTTTCCTGGAATTTTAAACCATTTCATATTATCAGCAACTGATGCTATATCCAAACAAATAAGAAGAAAATTGGAATTTTGATAAACTATTGATTTTCATTGATGACATTTGTGCAACATTAACAGCAATAGAAACGTTTTATTTTTCTAGATTTTTCACCAAGATGTTCGTCAATGGGCAGATATCGGCTATAATTTCGGTGTTGGGGAGGACGGCAGAGCATATGAAGGACGCGGCTGGTATAGACGAGGGGCGCACGCGCGAAGAATTAACGGTAATTCCATTGGTAAGTGTAACATAAAACTAATTATGGTGTTACATTGGATTGAAAAATACCTTTTTTGCAAATCTACAAATCAAAATCGACCATAACTGACCTTATATCAATCAACTTATGCATTGTTTGTCATTGCCATTGTCTCTATGTTTAAATGAATTTCATTAACTTGCATTATACAATATTAACTGCTATTGAAAATATTAAGATTTTAGACTATAAATAAGTATTGTAATTATACGACGTGCGTTAATGCATCTCGTACTACTGAAAAAGGGGGAGATACAAACGCTGTTAATATTGTTTTTACAGGTATTGTTGTGATGGGAAATTTTGAAGACGTAATACCTTTGTCGATAGCTACAGATATGGTCAAGAAACTTATTCGTTGTGGGGTTCAAAAGTAAGGACAAAGATTATTGGTGAAATGCACGCACTGTACATCGTAAATGTGTAGGAGTAAGATTTTCATATTCAGTATGTCGTGCAGCTCTGAAATAATGAATGTAATTGCCAGTAAGGTATTTTTTTCCAAAATTCCAAGATGCTTATTACTATAGTACACGATACATGGACAAAATGCCAGAGATAACTTATATCGTGAAGCTATGAGTGTAATATTACTCCTTTAGAAAACACTAAAGAATATCTCGTCATAAAAGTATAGAGTCTGGTGAAAATAAATCATTTGACAAGTTGAAACAGGCGGTAAAACAAGCAAGTTCGGTGGCAATTTGTTTCTCTTATACTTATCAAACCGCCAATCTCTCAATGTCCATCTTATTTGTCTCAGGGGAGTCCTGCGACCTGACTACATCCTGGTAGGTCACCGGCAGACAGACGACATTGGCCACACCACGTGTCCTGGTGGAAGTTTTCTGTGTGAAATCACAAAGTGGGATCATTGGGTAAGAGGATAAATCTGTATCCACAGCTGGGGCTTGTTTCGCTCTAAGTGTTTAGTTTGCCGGGCTCAGTTTAAGTGGTTTTATTCAGATAGCCGACTACGCAAAGTCGACTTTGCGATATTGATCCAAGAGCTTTTTAGAATGATAGGGTGGCAGTGAATGTATTTGAGATACACTGTACCGAAATACACCATTTTCAGCAATGAGGATGTAATTTTAGATCTTGTTATGACATAAAAAAAGACAAAAATGGATTCGAACAAGTGTCTGTGACGTCCTACCAACCGTGGAAGCACTCAAAACCCCCCTCAGCTGCTATGCGTTACCGCATTAAACGTCATACCCAGTGTACAAAGAAATAAAAGGTTATTTTTATAGCTCTGTCATTTTATCATATGTCATGAGCAAATGTAGACATGTTGAAAAACCCATTTATTATCACGTGTTTTGAATCGTTTTAGCAACCATACCAGTTCAACGGCACTTTCCATTACCCCTCTCAGTGTCCTAGAGCGGATGACGTCACAGCAGTGTCAACGGGCTCTGTACAGTACTCTCCCACCTATGGTAAGTATCTGTACCTCATACTGCTATCAGATAGGAATCGTTTATTGCTCACCAATTTCAGCCCGATAAGATTTCATTTTCAACAACATCCACTTTAATTTTTGATGAAGCAAATAAATGAAAAACATTTTGATTGGATTCTTAATGTCTTTTGTTTATAAGCAATATTTGGTCTAGTTGACATTGGACATAAACGAAAAGTGGTGAAAATGTGAACAAATACGTTTCATAATATTCAGTACGCTATTATTTCGCCCAGTATACCTTAGATAAGCAAGCCTGATAGCAAATGTCTGTACAATTTCCATTATATCATAATTTCAAACGATTTATGTCCATATATATTGTGGTATAGATATTTAGTTATAGCGACATAACTTCTTTTCTAGGTAACTGCCATGCTGTGGTAGACAGGGCAACGTGGGGAGCGGAGTCTGCCACTGACGTCATCAAACTCCAACTTCCGGTGAAATACGTCATAGTGCACCACACGGCGGGGAGGAGGTGTTTCACTGAAAGAGACTGTGTCTCCCAGGTCCGGGGAATTCAGGTAATATTTTCCTTAAAAAAATTTATAACGTGCGTTCAATATGGGTCTAGTTTTTATACAGAAAATATCGTCAGTTGTGGCATTCTTTGGTGGCGTGTTTTATATTTTTTATGAAAAATGTATGACTGACATTTACTTCGAATTTTTAAAGGACACTTTGATAGACGTAGCTTTTAAAGTAAATAAACCTTGAATGCATTTATAATTATGCCCAAGTAGCAAGTGATACAGATTTCGTACAATAATAAATCTTTTTGTTTATAATGTATACTCTGATCAGGTACACAACCTTGTATTGAACTTCTTCTGTAAATTTTCATCAAGTGAATAAAAAAAATCTTTGTTTCAGAGGTACCACCAAGTCACCAGAGGCTGGTGGGATATCGGCTATAATTTCCTGGTAGGAGAAGACGGCCATGTTTACGAGGGGCGTGGCTGGTTTAACCAAGGAGCACACGCCAGGGGTTTTAATAGCCAGTCGATAGGTATGCTATACCTTATATAGTTAAAAATGAGTAGATGTTATTTAGATTCTATTGAATTTAAGTACCGTTGTTACTGGAAGGTTATTTAACACTTTAATGACAACTATTAAATTTCATGATAATTCTAATACTTCTCCCTTATTCATCAAAGTACGGATTTGTTGTACTAGTTAGAAAAAATATTTAGGTCTTTATTATCAAATTTGCTTGTCCTGCATTTATGTTACTTTGTTATGATAAATCGGTTTAAAATATGATTGTATTCTTTAGGCATTTCCATAATGGGAGATTTCCGAAAACATTCACCCAGTAGAAAAGCCATTGCAGAGCTGAAGCAACTCATCAAATGTGGTGTTGACAGGTAGACTTCATACATGTGGTACCTTTACAGAGATACACATTGTATATTTTTGAAATATTTAAAATTCAAAGTACATTAATTAGAAATATTAAGATATTTGTTGCTAATTCGTACAATTTTGCCAGAGCAGAAAATAGTTCACAATCAAAACTGTAATTATAAGTACAAGACTGGTGATTTTTGGAAATAAATTTTCGGAATTTTGAATAAATTTTAATGTCCTACTTTCCTCTTATTCTAGGGGAGTTATCCAAGAGAATTTTACGCTCATTGGACACAAGCAGGCAGCAAAACCAGGTTATACTGAGTGTCCCGGAAGTAGCTTATTGTGTGAAATTGCACTATGGGAGCACTGGGTATGACGTCACGCTTTTGGTAGTCATACCGTCATCGTCCTTGCACGCACATTCTCCATATAATGTACAACTGCTTTTAGAAAACGAACTTGGCCTGTAATTGCCACTGGTTGTTATAATCATAATGCACAAAAGCACAGAAAAATAGTTTAGTTTTTTTCTAAGTTAGTTATACTAAAATTACGCCATCTTTAAATTCTTTAGTGCAGCATCTTAAATCAACTCCAACATACCATACTGTACTTACATGTTCACGTTCCTGTTCTCTAGTCATGTTTGTCTTTTAGCTTTTTTGCTTTGTGCATTGCTTTTATTATTAGCAGATAATGGCATGCACTTGCTGCTTTTAAACAATGCTCTGCATTACTCTGCATTAATCATTTCGTATTTCTCATATTATTAACCTGTTTTCATACTCCTTTATCATCTTCAAATAATGTAATTATTACATTTTTGCCCGTTTGAAAAGTAGTAAATGTTTAGACAAATGAAGGTAATGCGCTCACGAATATATATTTTACAGTGGAATTTCATATTTTGCACGCTTTGAGAAGGCTAAAACAGAACAAAAACAGCATGCAAATATGTTTTATGTTATAAAAAGTAACTGTATTCTTTTATTTCTTTTCTCTTTCAGGAGCCGTATCAGTTCAACGGGACTTTCTCGCGCGTGGAATGTTTAAACACACAATCAAGTATATCCGGAAGTAGAACTATTTTCAGTTACACAATAATGCCATTCATATCGACATTGGTTGCTTTAATATATCTGAGGGCATCTTAGCTATTCAGCGTGAGGGAATGGGACAAATTGCACTACAGTATGAGAAATGGAGACTGCAATGGAAATATAAATTTATACAAGCTATGAGGCAATATCTTTAGACCACCCACTATAACACTGTAAATACACGTTTTTCATCTCATTATTCCTTGTAACTATGGTGGTAATGTTCACATTTCATTTATCTAAGTTAATGTTACGTTGTTTAATCAAGTTTCCAATTATTTTAATTGTGGATAAGATCTTCGGCGAGATAATATGGTTTTATACCGTTCTGAAATATCATTATGAATTCTACCTCGTCATTGTGTTCGAGAAGGGTTCAGTTACAATCATTTACCAAGAGAAGACAGCGATGAGATGAAACATAGGAATTTTACCAGGCTCCCTCCCAGCTCAGTTTGTGTAACTTACTCGAGTAGGAAAATGGGGGAACCCAGAAGCAGGCTGCAGTTTGCATGCCGAAAACTCTCAAACTGCTTAGCAGACCGCACGTGACGTCAAGGATTTAGTGAACATCACAACCAGGCACATCTAACACAATACAATTGTATGGTAGACCTAAACAGTTGAACTATGTTTTATTACAAATTTTAAAGTTGCTTGCACATATTCATGACATGGTCTGACATCATAAACATGCTACATATCAGGACATGTAGAAACTGTATTCAAAACATAATTTTGTGTATATACATGTTTTTTTTATCATCAAAAAATCTAGTCTATCGGTTTGTTGGTACACATCTGTGTTTCATATTATTTATCCGTACTGAAAAACTAATCCACATGTACCAGTAATCTAAACATCAGTCTTACCAAAAACGTAACTCTGTATGTTTTGATCTGGAAGACGCATATTGAGGGGCTCGTATCCTCGAATATACCGGCACTTTCTGACCTCGTCCCAAACGTAATCCGGATCATCAAGTGGATTAAGTGACGCAACGCTATCTACGTCACTTCCGGTTTCCTCGGCACCCGGATCTGACGCAGTTGTAGCGTCAGATTGGGACTTTGTAAAATTATCGTGCTTACTTTCGACTTTGGAGTTATCTAGCTGTTTAAGCCAGTTGGTGGTCTTAGTATAAACGTCTATGGAGGTTTGGTGGGCGGCAGTCGCTGGGGAAGAGACGGGAGTCCCCGGATAAGAGCCATAAACCAGTGTGTCATCGGGGGAGTCCGTCCGAGAGGCGATACGGGTTTCATTCTTATCCAGTCTGAATATGACACGTTTGGCACTAGCACCCTTCCTAAGCGACGGTGGCTTTTTTACAAGGCTCCCCTTGGCACCTGTTGCGGAAGACAGGTTTGTAACTCGTGGTAGGGTCACTATGTCTGAGCCACTGAACTGAGCTCTGTTCTCAGTGGGACGGTTCCCAAGCTGACTCTTGGTAGCACTCTCGTCCATCTCCAAAGACCTGGTTGTCGATGACGTCGACGGTGATGACTTAGCTCTTAATGGTGACGTCATAGCTCTTGGAGTAGCTCCCAATGATGACGTCATAGATCTAGAAGGAGTCCAGGTATTTTCTTTACGAATACGTGTCAGGTATCTCGTCACCCTTGCTGGAGTAAGGAGGGAGTGAGAGCGCGTAATGAGAGGGCGTTCAGTGTCAGACACATCCGGGGTGCTGAAGCTTCTTTGGGGATAGATTCTGTTCTTACTCAAGAAGTCTATGTACGATTTGTCTATTTCTTGGTAAAACGCTGAGCGATTGGTGTTACTCTTTGTTAATGTAACAGTGTCCCGATTTGCCGTGGGCCCTAATTTGTCGTTAAGCTCAGCTGAGTTGGACGTACCAGTCTCATTTTCCTGAGGTTTTTGTTCTTCGGTGCCATCTCTAGGAGCTGCCCAATGCTGTTGCTTAGCTGAATTTGTAGGGGTACCGTCGTTAGTGAGTCGATTATAGCTAATTTGATTAACACTCTGCTTCTCACGAATCAATTCATACTGTTTACTGACTTCGGTACGGGAGAAACCAGCGAATCCCGGAGCACGAATATATCTCCCCTTCTGCACTTTCTTGTCTGAAATAGTGTCGTCACTGCCTTGGTTCCTGTAACAAAATATCCATTGTGTAACGTGACGTCACAAACCGTTGACCAACCCACAACTATATATTAATGAAAATAGTATTTTTTATTCGCAAAATAAAAGCTCGGAAAGCAAAATATAAACTGTGATTTTTAATGGTTGGCTTTCTGTTCGTTATCGGTTTGGAATTCACATTCTCGTTCTACTCTTTTTCTTGGATTGTTTGTCCCTCAGTGGCTATAACAAATATAATCAAGCATTGCCTTTCCGTCAAAAAAAAAAGCAGTTTTCTAAGATCCAATACTTTTCATAAAAAAAATCTCACACGATGATTTAACATTATTAACGTGTGTCAATATAATGAAGAGGATATTTAGACCAAGATTAAAGAATGACGTGCAAAAGAGAGACCTCACCTCGGCATTGTATAATTATATGTGACGTTTTTCCCACCGTAAGCGGTCATCTTATTGTCGTGGGCCACCATAGGCTTAGAAACGTCCCTGGCTCGATTATCATCTGAGAAATTTCCGTGACCGTTCTCAGAAATGTGCTCCGTACTTTGACCTGAAATCATTAATTAAGGCGGGTATGACTATGAGCAGCAATTAACGACGATGAGGAACAGGGCCTGGCCTTACACACGCAGGCCGTATTGATTCACAGCGTGTTACAAAAATATTTCCTCTCCCAAACTATGACAAGTTATAAAAACACCCCGTTATTTGCTACATTGTAACCCAAGTACAGAATCAAATCGCCCTGGTTCTAAATTAAAATATAATATATGGTAAGATATCCTCAATGTTTTTCAAAGGTCTTGTCTGGCCGTACTAATTTTAATGTAATTATAACAAAACTGCGACACACCCTGTAGCCGCTATCCGCTGAATAGTCAAACACAGTAAATAAAGTCTCCACATAGCCAGTCGATAAACGTCACAGCCTGGGTACTGACTATCACTGTGAGATAGCGTTATGATAACATCCAGGGACAGTGTGTTCCTTAGTTACACTAATCGATAATCAATCGACTGATTGAGATACCGTGTCCCGATTACTAATCAAATGTTTGTATTCATTACGCGTCTTTTCGTAATAACGATTTTGTGGACTTGCTGACTGTCATTCGTATTGATTATTTCTTGATAATCAACTGGTGGCGTCGATATACCAGTGAATAATTTCTAAACTGTGAGCATTTATCTATAATTACACGTGTAACAATGGCGATTACTTGTAGACAGCGCATAAAAAGGGTCCATTCTTTTCACTGTATTCACTCGGAATATCATCAAACAATTTCCTGACTTATCGACTCATTTTGAGACTAAAAACTGTTTAACCGTTTAAACAGTTTAACCGTAGACCTCTACTTGGTTTTTTTTTCAGTGCACAGTACGCATTTGTAGAAATAAGAATAACTGATAGAGCAATTAACAAATCAATCACTCACTGTATCAATCAATCTATATATTTTTGCTCTGATAAATCAATCAACTAATTAATTCAAATCAATTTCTCAATAATAAAGAAGACGCTGCAAAAACACTTACCAAATAAGAGCGCACGCTTATCCCTGCGGACAATCCTTCTTTTGATTTCCCTCATTTGATCAACGGCGCGGACGCTCTTGTCTCGCGTAAGCTTCGCGAGTTGTTTCCGCAATTCTTTCGTCTCTTTCTCAATGGCGGTTTTTGCTCTGAATTCCTGGCCCTCAAGATCGAGGAGTTTTTCCTCCAGCGTCAGTCCTGCCATTCCGGAGCCATTACAATTCGTTAAAAAACGAGTCCGCATCCCTGATTTTCTGCGTGAGTCAGTACTAGTTTTACCACCGCTACTTAACGGGATATCCATAGCCCGAAATCAAAAAGCCAAAATATCAACTGTGTTAAAATGGTAATGCGCTCTTACGCGTTTCTTTTAAGTTTTTCAGAACCACTGTAGAATATATAAATGGATGCACATCAGAAATTGGCATCTTGGCACCTTGGTTCCCTTTCCTGCAAATGTACAGTCAGTATGCGTTGGTTTTTCTAATAATTCTGGTGTCTTCTGGCAACGAGATTTAATACAAGTTGGCGTATCTGTCACCTTTTGTGTGGATCAAATAAGAGGACCAAGATAGTTAACTGTCTATCTGTGTTTATTATGACTACACCTCTTGATCAGAGATACTATAGTCGGATATCTATCGTCTTATCGTTTGAAATCAAGAGTTGTCGCAGCCTTAGGAGAGAGAGGCACGTTTACGCTGTGCTCAATTAAAAAAATTCTATAGAAAGTAAAAGATTGTTCAGACCTTTTCTGAATTCTTTTTCCAGTCCTGTTTATCTCTAGATCATTATTGTAATTACGTTTTTTTATTTAAAGCAATATCGTAGCCTTAAAATACACCATATCTACAGGTAGGGTCTAAGCTGTTATCATTATCACCTGTTGGTGAAACATTCTTTCTGTATGAATTCAATATACCATGATTATAACACTGCATTTCACTAAATGTATAGCAAAAATAAAATAAAAAATAAAAAGGGAATTTAAAAAAACTGCAAAATTCGAGACTTTGCGTCACCGGTCATATTAGCAAAATATTATAATAAATGTCTTTTGGGTCGCACGAAAGGCAACTACGATTCTTTTTAATATAGTGTATGAATGCTTAAATGTAAAAATTAAGTATATGGTAATAAGAGAAAAACAACAGAAACGCGATCGCAACTTTTATCGAGATATATTTCGAGGCAGTGGCCCGTTCCTGTGCCTTAGTGACCTTGGAAAAATACGTACGATTAAACCAAAGCATTTTCTCACGATTCACGCGCCAGGCAATCTAGATATATCACAGATCACTGCATTGGTTTTCGATTAGCTGATAAATCAATAGATAATGTTCAAAGCAGTAGAGGGGATGGGGGGTGGGGGGAGTGAAAGGCACCTGTCTCTGCCTGTCGAACATATTGCGTGACCTCACAAGGACCTTCTATTCGGCTCTATGGTCACAACGGATGTGGAAGTTATTTTGAGAAGACGTGAATTTTTTTTCCAACGTACACCACAAACATTGCACAAAGCGAGGTTTCACTGCTAATTTTGATTTAAAAAGTCAAAGATATGATCAAAATACATTTTAAACCCTTAACAAGAACATTTTCATATTAAAAACCTCTAGCGCTTTATTAACGCCTATATTTGGCAAAGTACCTTTTTGTTTCTTTAATGCAGGTTTTATTTCTTTTTATTTCTTATTCCCGTATATTTCGAAATGACCAAATGCACATGAACAACAAAAGCATCAAAACAATGATCACGATGGTGGAAAATATAAGTTGGTTTCATAGTTACTAATTTCAATTATTTCGCCGCATTAGACCATCTCAGCCGACACGCTGCAGTTTATCGTCTCACCCGAGTGTGCTAATTATTTCTCTGCATTGATCCATCATCTCACCTAACACACTTCAGGTGTGTTTTTTTTCTGTCATCTTGCCAACAGATTGTAAGGGAGTGTTTGTACTGTTGTCAATTCCACCGTCACGTGACCATGTACGTTTTTCTTGGGGTGCGACCTTGTGAGGTAAATATTTCTTAGGACCGAACAGGAGGAAATAAAGATCGTCTGCACTGCCAAATTGCACAGGTAAGTGTGTATGTAGTCCGTCTGTCGGTATCTTCGTAGCAAGTTTAGTGGAGCGTGTAGAAGTGTCACTTGTATTATTTTTCACAAAAATATTCGAGTCCTTCTCCTTACGCGTATCTGGATCTTATGCGATACAAATCAAATGAAAAATCACTACATAGGCTACATAACGCACATTCTTATCCCAGTTAATTTAACCGTGTTAATATTTTGACTGAAAACTTGACAGAATATGATGGCATCTAAAAAGTCAGTTTACATGAGCCATATGACATGACAGCATTTGGAATGTAGAAAACCGTTATTATATGTGGCTGTGAGTGTCATATGAACCGAGTGGTTGTGCGTGGGTCTTATCAGAGATATGTGAGCTCTACTCAAATATTCTATTAACACCACTAAAAACCCCAGACGAAAGGTAATTTGACATCAAATCTTGGCATGCGTTCGTGTATGTTAAATATCGTCGTTATTATTGCTTTGCGTCTATTGTATGTAGTGCTTTTTTTTAAACACAAATATGCCTGTAGTCAACTTAGGCTATTCAGCGGTCAAGTTATTGTTAAAATGCCGTGAATACTTTTATTGTTTTCATTGAAATTGTGACCTCAGTGAGACCAATTCTCGCCTTATTTTCCGTCTCCGTGAGCAGTGAGATATCGATTATTAAGCTCATTCACTCGATTCCTGTGTATCGCATATAAAATTTAACAAGGTGAGCGAATGCCTTCCCATGAAAGCATTGCTACAATATTCAGCTTAATAGGGAAATCCAAAAATGTTGATAAAAAACCTGATCTTCACCTTTCGTGTTTCAAATACCTTAGAATGACCCAAGAAGGTACACGTTTTATCCGTTTCTATACAGGTGATGCGAGTTCAAAAAGGAAAAAAGAGGGGTTATTTGACGTGTCGTATAATAATTTAAACATTTAGAACGTTTGTGGTCTTTTATTTCCTTTTACATATATCAAGCTGTAGTTATCATGAACGCATCCTTCAGGCTTATATTGGTAGTGTGGCTGAGCTAGGTGAGACAGTATACACCCACCGTTCACACGAACGCGCCGGACAATAGCAAGGAAACTGCCATTCTTTCAACGATTGATCCGTTATGCTCGAATTAAGATTTCTTCCATTTTTTTTATATTGCACGCTTCACCCTTGATGCCTTCATCACAAAATATTTTCTTACCGATTTATATAAACGATGCAGGCGTAAGAACAAATACATACCTAAATACTTTATTTATATTTTGACAGTCCCTATAGGCCCTATTATGACCATTGGAACTTATATGTAGGTTGTTTTGAGTGCGGCTTTTAGAAAATATCACAATTTTGTCTTTTAAGCATATTAATTAAAATATTTTAGTGAAAACTTTAAGTTTCGTGTCATGGCAGTGCTGAGCAAAACGATAATGTTGATACTGTAATTTTTCTTTCTTTTTTCTTTTTGGTTTTTTATCCTCAAATTGAAAGGTGCTGCCCGCATATATAACCAACATTCTGAATTCATAATAACCACATTAAACTCATTCAATGACGTGATGATACTTCAGATATAACTGTGGTACAGTAAAAATCTTATACGGAAACTAGTCCGAAAATAAATTATTCAAAGCAGTGAAAATAATCCACGATTGCCTAAAACGAGGCTGTCGACACAGCGTGATGTCATGCGAGATAAGCATTGACATAGGCCTAAGGTGGAACTGATCCAGTAGGACACACACTGTCACGGCGTAGGGATTTTACGTCGTTTTTTCACGCGCCATTACGTTACGTCGCGTTCGTTTTGTGAAACCATGAAAATTTGACCTAAAAATGTCAACATTATCTGCAGAAGTAAGTATCTAATACTTCCAATCAGATGGTATATTAATTGGGTATTTAAACTTCATACCCATGTAATATTTTTTTTGGTAATGTTTGATTTGACCGCGTTTATGTTTGTGAAACTCACATGTCGCGGTTACATTTTCCCTTGACAACATCGTAACTTTCATCAAAATTATTCGGACTAAAAATTTAAGAAAATCTATTGACTAAACTGAAGTAAATGAGTCGGTGTAGGTCACACAGTGCAGAATAAACAACACCCCCTATTAACAAAACTATATAGGCCTACATGATACATTGTATACATGTGTAATCTTGATCTTAAAGTTGGGGGTACTTAGCATACACCTTTGAGGAAAAAAACGTGGAAAGTATAACTTCTGACTTCTGTTGAAAATCTATACCTACATCATGATAATCTTCTAATGAAGTTTACATGTGTGGGTCAGAAATTTCTGGAAGTTTTGATACAATTCGAAACCAGGCGCCCAATTCACTCCACCTGTCCACCCTCAGGATAAAATGGCGGGAATTCTAATGAAAATAGCTAGCGGTAGTTCAGGGGAACTCTCGAAAAACGAGAGGTATAATTCGTACTTTGGTATTTAATGTCAGATATATTTTTCCTATTTCATGCAATCATTGCCTCTATAAACTGAAATCCTTATTTGTGATCAAACTGAACCTAAGAAATGTGTAATTTGAAGGCCCAATCTGCATGTCACATGATTTGTGTCACATGATATTTACGAATCAAACCAGTTCAAGGTCAATAGTTTGCTGCTTAGGAAGAAAGTGTGGATCATCAGAACCTTATGTGAAATTTGAGGTTAGTTCGAAACTTTTTAGAGTGAATAAAGGTGTTTATTTGCTCGAAGGACGGCAGAAATGGGTATTTTAGGGAGTAAATTTGCACTGATTTTTGACAACTTCTCAGATTTTCTGTCGAGACTGACAATTAAACCCAAGAGTGTACGGGATTTTCCTTTAAAACTTGTAAACCTTGATATGTTGGCAACCATTTTTCGCAATTTAAGCGAATTTTATATTTGTTAACACATTTCTCGCATTATATATATAGTCCCTCCCTGGGCATATGCGTTTTTGGTTTTGTAAAAAAATTCCATCCTTTGTGTTCAGAGCGCGATACTGAGAATTCTTGATGGTTAAATTGATAAAACTATGCCCTTTTTGCTACAGAAGAACAAATATTTATTCATTTTCTAAAATATATAAGTACAAGTCACAGTAGATTTTTGCAATAGATATTTACGTGCCACATACTCATTTTCAACGATTCGCCATTCTCGTGCTATTTTGTTACGCGGACGTAGCAAAAGGACAATCATGACGTGCCGAAGTACACCCCATTTGGACATTATGTGTCCTACTGTCGATCGTGTTCAAGGTAGCAACTAGAAACTAGGTACTAGCCCCTGGGTTGAACACATCTCGCTGACACTGTGGCTTATAGCGCTCGGGTGATTGTGAAATGTCTCAGTTATTATTATTATATGGATGTCAGCTCAGAGATATAGTATACATTATCCGCATAACTCAGTTACAATAGAATGATGGGGCTATGATCTATGCTTTACTGCTCTGAGGGTCCCATTGGGGGGTAGTGATCACAGTTCACAAGAAATAAAATCGTCAGTTCGCAAGTTGCAGCAAATAAAACTTTAGCCATATCTCAGTGATGATGAGAGCCGATTATCCTTAAAAAATTACCGGGTATAATGACATTGTTTAATGAAGGGCGAAGAATAAAAGGCCTCTTTCGCGAGTCACTGGAATGGGGTGCTTTATCAATCACGCTAAATGATATGAACTTTTGTCGCATCTCGGGAAATGAATAGTGGCTTTCACGTGGAACGAAAATACCCAAAGGGACCCTCGTTTACGATTGTGGTGAATGACGATATTTCGATTCCACATATGAATATTTTAAGCTTCCAGGCATGTTTTTATCACCGCAAACGAAAATTGGATCAAGGAATGCAGCAATTATACTCCAGCAAAATTCGTTTTCTCTTTTTAGCATATCCGAGCCAGTCAATATGGAGACCAACAGGATTCTGTGCCTGGGTAAACTTTGTGTGGATATTATAGCGGAGTGTGAAGACTTCCCACAAGAAGACAGCGACCAAAGGTAACATCATCAAGAGTGGGGTGCAGGACTCCGTTTTTTTTTTTTTTTTTTTTTTTTTTGACAGCATTCACGGCCAGTTGGTCCGCGAACTAACAGATTCTCGGATCAAATATGGCCGACCCACTTGAAAGCTTGCCGTTTAATCCCCTAATAGACACTGAACAGATTCCCTGCATGGATTATGCGGCACGCTTTCAAGCTCTCTACAGCTTAATGTGGAGGAATGGAGTCTTTTCATTTAGTAATTTTCTCACTTATTTCGAGCCCCTTTAACTTGATCGTTATTATGACCATATATATGCGAGTAGGCCTACTATGTAACGTACGTACACCTACTAGTATATTACATGGGGTTCGTATTTCTCTAGTCGGAACTGTTTGTTGTTATTCTTCATTTTAACGACATTGCCTACCAGTAGTTTGTGTCAATATAATTCCATATACATATATAATTTTTAAATCTGAAAAGATGTAAGAGACAACGCTGGCAACGCGGAGGGAACGCCAACAACACCAGTACGGTTCTGTCTATCCTGGGAGCTCCGGTGGAGTACCTGGGTACGATAGCGAACAGCCACGAGCTAGGGTAAGTCCTACACAGGTATCCAAACAGGTAGATTGCTGTATGATACCAGCCGTTTGATTGTTGTCACCTGAGGCGGTCGTAAATGTGACTTTTTTCCTCTTCCGCCGCAGAATCTAATAAATACATATGTAGGTCCGAGACTTTATGCCAATACTGCTTGAGGGTTTATATTTTATATATAACGGCAGCTAGAGAGATTTACTTTTTAGATAAAAACATGTTGGAAAAAACCCCAAAATAGTAAAGGACTATTTATTTTTTAAATATCAAATTCAACAGCTTATAACTGTGACGGCAAGTTCTAACGTGCGTTTATAATTAAATCAATTAATCTAGCACTCTGAAGTGGTGATTTTTAGATGATAAATATCTTTTTTTTTGTCAGCTTTCTCCGTGACGACTATCAGCGTGCTGGTATTATAATAGACAACTGTGTTATAGTGGACAATTGTAGCTGCCCTGTCTCCCTCGTACTGCTCAGCTCGGTCTCAGGATCAAGAACTATTATTCACGACAGCGGGTAAGACAGTTTCCAAACCGGGGACCCAATTCACACACACACACACACACACACACACACACTAAGAAAAAAAACGTAATTCTGCAAATCCTAAGCGGGTCTCACAGCCCACATGAGAGTCTGCCCGTGTAAGGCCTCTAGCTCAACTTAGTCATCTTCGGTAACGAAGGACAGCCTTTTGATGACGATGAACGTCAAAATGTTCCCTCAACTTCATTTCAGGAACTTTTGTCCACGCTTCATGATGATAAAGGTACACTATTTGTGATTTTCCCCGTCAAACAAGTTTTTTTTTTCCTTTTAAAAATGTAACTGTTTTATATTTCAGGTCTCTACCTGAACTGACACACAAAGACTTCCAGGTCGACCTCGGTTCCTATGCCTGGGTACATTTCGAGGTAGGTTCACCGCTAACCTGTGAAAATAAATTATTATAAATAATAAAAAATAAAAAAGTCGTATTACTTCTAAAATTCTAAGATGTACTTTTGAGTGCGATATACAGGCAGGTTGGGTTGCTTTGCCTTATTATAATTCAACTTTTCTCCCTTAGATTAAGGTACATATCATGATAGAGCAAAATGATGAATTTTCTAGGTTTTAGCATTGCTACCATGGTACATCCAATCCGAAAACGACAGCGGTACTGCCTGGACCTAAATCACCGATTTAATATGAAAACCATTTTTAGAGTAACTACCTGTAGGTCCACAGATAAGACAAGCCCTAAGCCAGGTGGGGTTCGAGGAGTTCGAAGACCCCCCCCCCCCCCCTTTTGCCGGGAAAAAGTCCCCTCTGGGCACTAAGGTTTCACGGTAAAAGGTCCACTTTTTCAGAAAAAAAGAACCCCTTTTTAAAATTGCTGGATGCAGGCCTGTAAGGACATTATTCGCGAGCGTTGATTATCACAAAAATATGAAATCTAGGCGTTCCTCTTTTCAGGGGCGACCAAGCGCAGCAGAGCAAGTGAAGATGCTGAGAGATATAGATAATCACAACGCGGACCTTGAAGAAAACGACAGGATAACCACCTCCGTGGAGCTAGAGAAGAACAGACCGGTTTTAGGTAATACATGGCAGGGGCCTATATAAAAAAAGGCTGTGAGGGGGGGAATGGATTGATATATACATGTGTAGGGTGTATATGTGGGAAAGGCAAGAGAGGCCTATTAAAATGATCCCTAAACTACAAATGATATAAAAGAGCATGTGATTTCAAGTAACTCAAGGGCGTATTCCCAGAGCTTTTAGATCGATCTATCCCCGCGGGGAGTCTCACTAGATTACTGTCAGATAATCCGGCTTAAATGTCCGTCCCGCCTACTACAAGCTGTAAGGGGGTAATTAACTTTCGTGCCCGCTCGGCTGACAGCTATTTAGCGTGAACCCCCAGGGAGTTATGTCGATCTAAAGTAGATCGATCTAATCTCTGGGAATGGGGTCCAACACAGGCAGCATTTCTGAAATGCATCAAATCCTGTTTGTTTTCCTTTTATCGCTGTGCCAACCACGGCCGTCTTATTCGCCTTCTATTTATTTATATATGAACATGAATATAAACTTGCATATGAAGATACAGATATAACTGTAGAACGATCCACCATATTGAATGTAAAATGTTCATGGATTATTTCAGCCCAGCTCATTGACAAAGCTGACTACGTGTTTATCAGCAAAGACTATGCCAAAGCCCACGGATTCTACAGCAAAGAGGACGCAGTGGAAGGGTTTGTGGATAAAGTCAGAGAAGGGTAGGCAAATCTGTCGATTTTTAAATTAAAACTAAAATCTCTTTGTGCATGAAGGCAATGTAGATGACAATGATGATATGATATTATTCGCGGTTTATTGCTATGAAAAATTTACAAAAAATTTTAGCTTGAAGCAGGGCGCAGCATGCCCGCATAATTTTTCTTGAAAACTACACAGACTCTTATGGAAATACAAATGTAATATCCAGTACAGTCCCGGAGTATGACCTGGTGGTCGAAAATCTGGCTATCCTTTTTCATCAAACCAGACACGTCATGTTTAAAATCTTGCCACGTGCCCTTTAAGGTGTTGGATGTCGAGAAAATTAAATTATTTTCCTTTAGATATTTAGTTCTACCGACACAGTGTAGGATGTCATATTGATTATATATTCATCGCCGTATAACTTGTTTTTATTCACACAAAGTGATCGCAGTAAAGTCAGCATACACCTTAGTTCCCACACGGTCCCAATACCTGCCAAATATGTACTCAGCACCATTCGGCAATTTGAAATCGGAAATTTAGTGGAATTTCGCAAAAATTCAAGTTGGGCGAAGTTCACGAGTCTCATAAAATACCAAGTGAAAATCAAGTAGCTAGCAATTTCAAAAGGGGGGTTCTTTTTCTGAAAAAGTGGACCTTTTTCCATAAAAACTCCATGTACCTAGATCAAATTTTACCCAGAGTGGAACTTTTTCTACCAAAAAGGGCGGTTCTTTCGAACCCCCTGAACCCCCCCTGGCTACGGGCCTGGCTTTATATTTATATATCTATCTCTCTAACAGTTTTTGCGTCATGATGGTTTTTACACGTTTCAGAGCGACGGTAATATGCGCGTGGGGAGAGGACGGCGCCTGCGCAAAACCGAAAGGAGAGCCAACCATATCTGTGCCCGCCATTTCACCCGGAACTATTATTGATACTCTCGGAGCAGGCGATACTTTTAATGCGGCTATGATACACGCACTCTGCAAAGGTGCAGTGCTGCAATCCGCTCTAACATTTGCCTGTAAAGTTGCTGGAGAAAAGTGTGGAATGAAAGGCTTTAGTGGCTTGCGATACACAGATCTGTCATTTGAAGCAGAGAGCGATGGTAGTTCTAGTGGCAGCAAATAGACACGAACATATGCAGCCTACTTAAAGAACTTACCTTGTAGGCCTACATGTATTTGGTGATTTTAAAACTGTAACACATTTACCCGGATTGAAAGCCAGTTCCCATCCATAGTGTGTCGAGTTTAAGGTGGCGTGTGCGTTGTAGTGACACCCCCATAACGTTACTAGTCACCTTTAAAGGAGGCTAACCTCATCATCGATCAGCACTAGTAGTGCCTTTATATAATTAGGCCTATTTTTAGCGCCTCTTCCCCGTTGTTATTCATTGTTTATTTATTATATTTATTCATTGTTTATTTATTATATATTTATTTTTTGCATGATTGCCACACAGTACTATTCTGCCCTTCACCATGGCCACGGGTTGGTTTTTTTTTACTAAATATTCACAGATATGTCTCTGGTTAAATGATGGGACTTTTATTTTTTTATAAATTTGTGGAGATAATTAACCCATTTGTTTATTAGATCTTAGTTGTAAGTATTATAAGGGTGATATCACATTACTTATTTGACATTGGTGTACTTTTTTCCTCCTAGATTCAACATTTTGTATTGATATCTCTTATTACATGTTTATTGTAGGAAATTAGAGACATGCATTGAAGGTATGGACGATATTTGCCTGAATTGGTGCATTTTGCACTCGACGCATACAATCGGGTTATGACAATGGGGTAATTTTACTGACATAAACGACTCTTTTCTTGAGCGTTACACATAATTTTTCTTATAAACTGTCTCTAAGCAGATTTGTTTGCAAGTATTTTTTTTATTATTTTCAGTAAGTACGAAGATTCTCCACTAGGTGTGACAATGTGCCAATTCTGAATATATATATATATGTGTTGCATTTATTGGAAAGGTGAATAAAGTTTTTCTTTGGGTTTATTTTGCGTGGTCCAACCTTCCAGATCACATTGTTGAAAAATAGACTCATGCACTGTTTCATTAATTTGTACACATCATCTCATGAAAGTGGACTTCTCCTAGTTTTATTGGCTCTTCACTGCCGTCTACGAAGAGATTGGAAAAAGCCTCCGTCACACAGACTCACACATCGTACTACAGTAGCTGGGTCGTTCCAGCTCTGTGGGAGATTCTTGCTATTTAAGTGTAATCAATGGAATCAGCTTACTCAGCACGACAGTTGATTTCCCACTAGCTGCTCGAGGAGGCGTGTCAAATAATTAAGCCGATTCCACTGATTGCGCTTCAGCGAGAATCCCCCTGTAGAGTTGGGCCGACCCAGCTAGTACGATGGGTTTATCTGAATGCGGTCATAGACATCGGATATTTGTTGGAAAGAACCTACCAAGATCGCCCGGCTTGGTGATTTGTCTTCTAGCTAATTTGCAGCGTTGATATTTTATATGAAATGTACATTATGCTTTGGGATGTATCATTCGACTACAAAGTGCATCAAATAAAAATGGGTACAAGGAGCACTTACAGATGACAAAAAGAAAGAAATGATCTATAGTAGACGTCAACCCTGCGCGTTGGTGGTTTGATACGCGTATCATAGATATGCTTGTTTATAGGGTGTACCGACACGTCGTAGTATAGCACTTTGTCCCTAAATCGCGTTTTTATTTGGGTCCAGATTGACAGTTTTGATCTAAACAGCTGCTGTTTTGTGTTTAGAACACGACCCTTTGATCTAAAACTTTGCCTTTTTACAACCATGCAAGATTCATTTACACAGATCTTCGTAACGAAATTGCCATTTGTGACTTGGAGCAGCATGTCGGTGAACGCGATTTCCGAATTAGTGACTTGGAAGATAAATAAATAAATATGAAGAATGAGACTGAATCAGCACCAACTCCTATCAGTAAGTCGCTAAAATAATATCAAGCGCTTTCCGAGACTACAGTTAACCTATGTGGCACAAGTGCATAAAATTTGTCGTTATCCTCCACCACACACCGCCATTAACTTTTTTCTTTTTCATGTGTACATCCCCCCCCCCCCCCACAAACACACACACTTATGGCATGCTAGAAGCATGAAGTCATGAAGATCAAACCGTATGACTAAGGCTCTGTTCTCACAACTTTTAGATCGATCTATCACCGCGGGGAGTCTCACTAGATTACTGTCAGATAATCCGCCTTAAGTGTCCGTCCCCGCCTACTACAAGCTATAAGGGGTAATTAACTTTCGTGTCCGCCCGGCTGACAGCTATTTAGCGTGAACCCCCAGGGAGTTAGGTCGATCCAATGTAGGTCGATCTAATCTATGAGAATGGGGTGTAAGTAAAATATTGAATTTACTGAACAAGCAGTGGTGCAATATGTTGCTGACGACAACTACGCAAACTAGTACTTTGTTTGATAGTTCGTGACAATATTCAGTAACGTTAAGGAAATGTCTGTTGTGTTGTACCCAAAAGGCAAATGTGTTCAGACGTAATGTTTTTTTTCTGCCAAAATCGGTATGTTTCTGATGTTTATTCTACTTATAACTGTTAAATAAAATGTAAATTCGTTCAAAACTATTTTTATAGGGGGCGCCAAATATAATTATTTTAAATTCGTTCACAATTATTTTATAGGGAACGCCAAATATAATTATTTGTAGTTCTACAGTAAACGCAAATTTGTAAGATGACTTTGAAGCTATGATTTTGATGACATTTTGTGTAGTTGTGCGGTCGCATATTAAGAAAGCTAAACGGTAATATCTTTCTCATGTCACCCCTCATTCTTTTACTACTACATGTCGCATTTATTTCTAGATTTCTTTTAATTATTCAAAGTCGTTTCGATCACAAATTTCCTAAACAAAGTCAAAATCTACTGCGTTTCATTCTTGTTAATTAACCCCCGACGTGCCAATTTTTGCAGACGTGTCTATATTAAACTGTATCAGAACGTAATAACACAACACGTCAACGTCTAATCAATGACTAGTTCCCGTTTACTGATTTAGTATACATAAATGATAGTTAACTATGCAAAACATCCATCTGTTTCTAATCTATAGCAATCTGTGAAACCAACACCTAACCAAAAACTATATCAACAGCGAAAAGTACTTGCGAAAACCAGCTACTATAATTAAACTGAAAAAGCATAATTTATTACCGACGTCTTACTAAGAAACATACAAGTTACCAAGATATTCTAGAAGTATAAACTTGCGTTTAATTCGTTGACTTTTCATGTCGTATATCGTCTGTAGCACCAAAGATGTCTTAGGACTAAATATTAACACACTGTCATAAATTACAAGACCAATTTACTTATAGACTGTGCCATCTACAAGTGGTGCATACTGGCATTTTTGCATAAAAAAAGAAAGAAAAAATTGTGCCATGTTTTCATACTTCATTCCAGAATCTGACGAAATATAATCTAACTAAATCTCACAAACAAATAACAAGTTTCAAATAGTCAATTCATTCAAATGCTTGCTCCTCGACAACATGTCCAATTAAGACTTAAATAAAAAAAACTGTTTTATAATCCAATATCAAGTGCACATGAAGTAAAAAGCCTACAAATGTATATTAAGAATAAATACTTTTTATGCAGCAAACATAAGTGAAGCTGGACTTTTCCAATCTCAGATTGGTTAGAGAAACGATGTGTGTCTGTATATTTATATCAACTACTTATAAATGTTGTGCTCACTTTCTATATTGACACGCACATAAAATAATAATATTGATAATCAACAAGAAAGCTCAACTAACAGAATAAATAAACTTCCCAACTAGCACAATGTACATCTTGCACAACCAAGCCAACATCAGGCGATGTTATAAACCAACGGTCTTTTATCAGATAAAATTTTTACTTTCACAATGCTTTAATTTTTTTCATAATTAGTAATCACCCATTTTAAGATAAAATTAAAGCACTCTTATGCAATATTTTTAAACAATAAAATCGTTTGAAAGCTGACAAAACATTTGGCTTTTATGAAATCCTTTTACGTGCCTTGAATAATATAACACAGGAATAAAAAAAATTTAACATGAAAATAAAAAGCACATGCATATGTTTTAATATTTCAAAACAATATCAATAACATGGTACATAAGACTGCAAATACCAAAAACTACACTTCAGCTAAACTGTCTCTATAAAGCAAGTAATCCCAAAATTGTTGAGCTTGTTTTGTGTAAATTTCCTATGCTCACAAATGATGCAATATTGACTGGACTTCATTGTGAGAAAAATTCTAAATACCTGAACTTTTTTTTACAAAACTCACCAAGGATCAGTTTTACAAACATTCTTTTGGACCAAATCTTTTGGTCTAAAACAGTTGCCATGTCTTTGTTGCTCTAAATTGGACTTATTACTTAATATAACTAGACTTCTACTAATTTCACTTGGGTCAAAATATATAAAACCCAACAGTCAGCCTAAAGTTCTCTTGTGAAAGTAGTTGATTCAAGCACAGTAAAATGCTACATGAGTACGTGCACTTAATTTGGTCCAGACCTTCCGTATGAATGTGCGCTGAGATAGTACAAAGTCTACATATACTACATCTACTGGTATTGTATATGCTAGTATATATATAATATATATTTAAGTAACACAATATAAAGATACTCCTTAACAATATATTAACAGATTCAACTAATTTTCTTTTAAAGAATATTACGTTTAAGTGGTCTACTTATAATTATCAGAACAATCAATATCTAGCATCATGGTGATCACTGATGAATGTTTGAAAACTAAAACTATCTTAATAACTAGCCATGCTTATTAATATTAATTTCAGAATGGTACATCTTGTATGGCTTATCTTGTTGCGTGCTGACATCTATTCTAAAAGAGGGTACTGACAGGTGATGCTTTCTTGATTTTCAGGTGGCCTAGACAGAGTGGATTTTTTGTGGTCAAACCCATACGAATAAATTAGAAATTTATAAACTATCTATCATAACTTAAACAATGTCCATAAATATATGGAAGCATGAGGTCAGATTGTATGTCTAAATTGTCCATGAACTGACCTGCAGGAAAGCTCAAAGGCCACATTTCTGAGGAATCTTACGGTGGTCACTACTAGAAACATTTCTTTTCTCGTTGACGCTGCTGTCTGTAGAATTACTTATATGGAATGGCTAACATTCAATGTTTAATTTCGTAGTAAACGTTTTGAGATTTAGCTGGGACGTTTTGTCCCAAGTCCCGAGTTGAAGTAGTTGTACCAGTAATGTTCTGTATCACAATTACAAACAAATGATGAAAAGCAAAATACTCAAAAAAAGATTATATCTCAGAGTTAAAACTAATATGGAATAAAGAATAAGTGTGGCTGTATGACAGTTTAGATGGAAAGGGTTTATATAACACATTTCTTGCACTAAAATAGACAATAATTTTACAGTTCAAAATCAAAACCAGTGCCTGAACATATTTTGATATAAAAGCTTGGTGAAACTCCCTCAAAACTTTGCCCAAACTATCCAAAATCTGAAACTACTTCAAAATTTGAAACCAGAGGAGAATATTAAGTCTGACAGCTTTGACCCTTTGCTGTAACTTTTTTAGTTTCTTCAGTGCAAGAATACTAATATTCCCCCAAAATAACATTTAGTTAGTAGAACATGAAAGTGGATTCAGAAATTCTTCAAAGTGAGTTGGTTGAATACCACCGAGTATATGTTGGTGAGTCAATAAAAATGATAAATCTTGAAATGGTAAAATACCGTATCAGAATGAATGATGCATATGAAAATTTTAACTATGTAACTATTGAAACTAAAACATCAAACCAAATCAGTTATGAACAAAAACATTCATTACCTTGGTAGTTGGGTCATATATGATATTAAGCACAAGCTGAAATTAATTTCATACTGTTAGCTTGGGGTCAACCTGGACATAGGTCTTCTTCAGACGGAGGTGAGTTGTTATAAGCTAATGGTATGATAATTATATTCAGCTTGTGTTTATAATTATCATCTATAACAGAATTATGGTTCACAGAAAATCTTAAGGTCACTTACAAGGTACCTTCTTCTTTTAGTCTAAAAACTCAACTCTCACACCAAACTGTAATTGTTTTGACTCATATTTCTACAGTAATGATACTAGTCATCTCTGAAAAATTAAGTTCAGTGGCGTATTCATTTTAAAACAGTCCCGGACTGCTATAATTGCTTACTTAGTCCCCTTCATGAAGTGGTCTAACCAAATTTGGGCGGCTAATCCCATCTCTGTTCACCTCAAGTAGTGGGCTATCTGAATTTACAAGGCTAAGCCCAGCCAATTCATTATATTTTCCTTGTGGAGACTGACCCAGTTCTGTCTATGCTAAGTTAATGAACTTGACATCGCATCTAGATTAAGTTTCTAAGATTTCAAAACTGTTATTTTTCTTGCTAATTTTCACCCCTCCCATGTTGTTTCCGGAATTAGCTTCTTTGAAGGCCATTTGCGTAGACTTCCCGCTTAATTCTGCTTGGAAGCTGAAATTAGAGTCACAAATGCTGTTAAAACATACTATTTTTACATACATAAAACATTAAAAACAACTGTCTTCATAACTTATATTTACTTTCAAACATTAAAAACATATAAACTTTACCTTGCAATTTCTAGCTAGGTCTTTCAGACATTGTCATTGCCATTTATTATTATTTTTTCTTTTCTGATTTGAGCTCAAAATAAACAATAGCTCATAACTATAACAATTTGGGTTTAAAACCCAAACATGTTCATCAGACTTTACAATGTAAAATAGTTACAAAAAATTGATAGAAACATATATGTCTGTTATTATAACACTATCTTGTAATATTATATGCAGGAAGTGAGCTATAAATATTATTATTTATTAATATGAAATATTGAGAAATTGTCTTTTTGAGTACAGTTTACTTTCAACACTAATTTAAATCTTTGTGAAAACTGCACATATTTCCCAGTCTCAAAACATCTAATCCATGTGGAGAATATTTTCCTGATAATAAAAAAATAATTAAATCATTGCTGAAGAGACTTATCATGTTTTTCCACCTCAGAGACAAGACATTTCTCCCTTTTAGAAAATCGCATGGAAGAGTCAGTCGAGTAATTAAGGTCCTTTGATGATGGAATTTAAAATACCTTGCCTCACTGGTAGAAAAACATGTTTAGTCTTTCTAGAAATAATTTAATTTTTATCTTTTTACACATGAGACAAGGAGAAATATATTTCACTGTATTTAACATTATCTAAAAAACAAAAATTTGTTTCTAAAAGACAATTTGTTACTTGTACAACCTATCTTTAGTAAATTACCCATTTAAATTAAATTCTTAGATGAAGATACAGGATGGAATAATAATTGTTAATCAAAAGATACGAATAAAATGTTTTATATTTTCTATTTTTGAAACCTGTGCAGACTTACGTTGGAGAGATGATCACATCCGGCGTGGCCCCAGAGCTATTGTGAATCACAAGGTATAACTTCGCCACCAGTTCAATGACATGATCTACACTGAAGATGAAATCTCCTTTCTTTACATCTTTATTTCCATTTTCATGCTAAAAAAAATATGAACAAAATGTTTTATGTTTTTACATATAATCTTCTTTTCCCTATACATCTAAAAAAGCAAAATAAAATCTTTTAGTTTGATTTATTTCAATTTATTCAAATGAAGTAAAAAACGTGACACAATACTATTAAAAATAACACTTGGGATCAGCAAGCAGCAAAACTATATATGTCAGAGGCTGTGTTTCTAGAGACCTAATGTATCCAGGGATACCACAACCCCTCCTTGGTGATTTGTCCTTTAAACAGCATAATTTATTTCCCTACCTTCTTGACGTGAACAACAACCAGAGTGTCGGAGAAGGGACTAAGGGAAAGTTTTTCAATCATGTTGACAGGAATTCTATATTTGACTGCTAGAGAGCGCTGATCCACTACTAGTAAGGCACTGGTACTGACCACCAGAAGTTTACTGGCCATCTGGAAATAAATGAAATGTGTAGAATAGTGGAAAGAGAGAAGAGAGAGGTCAGTGTCACAAAAGACTTTCAGCTAGGGTATTGGTCTTAAATTATACAACAAAAATCTGGTTTACATTCAAAGTTAGTCAATAATAGTTTGCTCAAATAATGTATAGGGCTAAAACATAAGCAATGTCTTTCTTGCAAAAAAAAAAAAAAAAAAAAAAAAAAAAAAATCAGTTTTTTAACTGGCCTAGGGTCACAAAAGAAAAAATGGTTTTAAATTTTAGACAACCGGTAATTTCTAGGCTAAAGTTTGAGAATAATCATCCCAATGTTCTCACCTTTCCATTTGACCTGTGTATTTTGCTGACTTGATCAGCAAAGACCACCTGCGTATCTCCTGTCTGTGATGCCACTTTCTGCCATTTTGTATTGTATCTTATTTTTATGTAGTCCCCATTATATGGGTGAGCAACACTGTAATGGGAAAAATTCGTTTGTAATTATAGAATCCTCTCTATATCCTGCCATATTTTAAGTAACATAATTAAACAAACAAACAAACAAACAAATAAGACAATATATAATTGCATTAAATAAAAAAAGTTATCTAACATCTCCTAGATGACTATTTGACCCAGGAAAAATACATCATAGTGAGTGGTAGCAACAAAATTTTAAAAGCAATTTAGGTTCTAAACTATTCTACTGGTATACAGTAAAAGCACCTCATAAGTTACACATAATTTTATATATTTTTAATGACTCCAAAATTATGTGTCTGAAGATCAATAATTTTTCCTCATTGAAAATATTAAGCCATTACCATATATAGTATACAGGGAGAAAAAACAATGGCTCTGTCCCAAGTTCTTACCTCTCTGGGTAATTGACCTTCTTTCCTTTAAAAATATTACTTGCTGTCACTTTCTCCCTCATTTTGGACTTGGCAGCATCATCGAACTTTGCTCTGTATTTATTACACTAGAAGTCAAATAAAAAACATTTAATTTTGTGCAAACAGCATAATTAAATTTTGCTCTTTTTCTATTACAATAGAAAGCAAACAAGTTTTACAAACAATACATGAAATCACATAATGTTCTCAATTTGCTATCATGTATTTTTTCTTTTAAAAAAATCTAACACGATTCTGAATCTGTGTGCCAACGTCAGTGTGGAGTCGGGATCAAACATGTTGGTATCATACAAGTGCTTCTGCGTTCTGCATCTTGTCCAATTCAAAAAGAAATGCCCCGACTCCTCTCATGTACCTTTTGGCACTTACCCGCCACCTATGGTGTATTTTCCGTATTTCCTCCGAGGCCTCTTTGTGCAGCATAGAGCATTCCGGCCACTTCTGATCTATGGGGGACAGGCTAGGCAACTTTTTGGACAAGTCAAGAAGAAATTTCCTTTTCTGAAATGATACATGCGATGGTCCCAGTGTTGGCTACTGTGACATAATTTTATGAAGTTATTGATGTTAGGGGCTCATTTTTGATGCACCAATTTGCTGCAGTTCTTTTGGAAAGACTTTTGGAAAGTTTTGTTTTAAAATATAAAAGTTTAATGAGTTTGAAATTGATTAAATTTTGCAAATGCAGGCACAAGTACATGTAAAAAAGGTATTTCACTTTGCTCTTGCAAAAAGAAATAAAAGGAAATTATGACAAAAAACATGAAGGCATTAGAGCACAAATCAATCTAAAACGGTGCTGGAAATGGGTTTTACAAGACCAAAATAAAAAAGACTTAATAATCTTTGAACTTAAAACAAACCACTTACCAGTGACACTTGCAGAAAACGGATCATGATAGGGACAGCATGGGAGCGGAATTTTCGTCGGTACTCCCTTCGTACCTGCCAACCTTGGAAGTATTTCCTTATGACACCTACAGCCCACAGACATAACTTTGCACGACGAATTTTCTTGGCCAATTGCCTAGCCTGAAAAGTCAATTTGATGTCTTTATGAAACATGTCTATACTAGTAAGCATATATTACCTTACTTTTTGGCAAAATGCCTATTAAAAACTAGATCATTTACTCCAAAGAAATTTTTTTCAAATTTCTCTTTTATTAGCCTGATAACTGCCAGAACCCATTCCATCTTACATCAGGACCAGATCTACACCAGCTTACATAAAACTTTGCATAAAACTCTGCATAAAATTGTTGCCTTTTTTTCTCCAAACAATGAAAAAATTCCAGATGACTCAACCCCTCACCTTCCAGCCTCTCTGGTATGACTGCATCGTAATGATTGCCTTTCTTGTTCGCAGATAGTTCTGCCTTTCCTGCAAGTATTTCAATATCAAAATCATAGACATTCTCATAAATATTATAAATAAAATTCTTTCTATGGTGATTCTCTTTGGCTGTTGAAGTGTTTGTTTTGTAGCACTTTTAGAAACCAACAAATCCACTGCTGCTGGTGGAACTGTTTATAATACACATATGTCCTAAAAATCATTACCCAGTATTTTTCTGAAGGTATATAAAATATAGATGAGCAGCAGTACAGACGAGCTGATACACCAAGTGCCCTAATTTACCCTATATCCCCTCCATTGACTTGCTATCAGGATTTCGCTCCTCTTCATCTTCTGGAACAGTTCCTTCTGGTGCCATCCTCTGTAGATCTTCTGTACCACTGTGGCCAGGTAGTGCATTCTGTCACGCCGCCTCTCCTCAAGGTCAAATAGCTGAAATAAAGGTCAAGGTCAAATAGGTACCACAAATGTCAAGGTCAAACAAAGGTCAAGGCCACTTGACTGAAATAGAGGTTAAAGTGTATTGGCAATAACCATTGTCAAGAATTAATAAAGTTAGACAGAGGTAAAATGTTTCTTCAAAATTTTATATAAGTCAATGCCATTTCTTATTAATATCAAATTGTAAATATTAAGTTCCTTCTAGGAAAAAGTTTTTTAAAATAAATATTTGCATCAGATGCCACAATTGAACCCTAGGCATCAATTGGCCACATTTCTATCTTTCTTTTTTTTCCTTTTTTGTGGCATGCTTTCAAATGCCTCAGTAATATTGATAGAGTTAAGCCTAAATCAAAATTCCATGATAGAATAGCATGTACAACCCACAACAGCAATTTTACCACCTTCTAATTTTATTCTTTCTGGAGAAAAATAATGCAGAAATATTTCTCACCGTGCGTGGATTCCTCACAAACAGTTTTGTCTTGCCAAAGGTATATTCATCACTGGAGATGTCTTGGGCGATCAGGATTTCCTTGACGCCATCTTTGGGGACGCCATACCAGTTGGGCCATGTTGCGGCGGAGAGCATCTTGTAGCGATATACAAACTGAGGGTAAAGCTGTCTGAAGGCATAGCCTGCACGTCTTACTCGGACATTTTCCATCAACCTATGAGAAAAATAGAACTTTTATACCCCGTTCACACTACGCTCAGTTATCCGGATAAATTGTGAATTAGGTCACAATTCGAATAAATGCAGTAGTGTGAACGCAAGAGGATTTTTGTAATGCCCATTTTCAAAATCCTGCAAGCGAGGTGGATTTCTAAGCGCGATCCGGATAACTTACCAGAATCGACACCTGTACAGATCTAACTGCGCATGTGTGCAGATAAGTGCGGGTATCTATGAACGCTCGTTTATTACTTTAGCGATTGCACCAAACGTATTTGGAGGTCACCACTCACTACAACATGAGGAAACAAACTTATTTTGCCATCTTATACTTCTCAAGAATGCTGGAATGTCTTTAGAGTTGCATTTGTCGTCACAAATTTTTGTTGGTATTTTAAGATTTCCTGTGCGGCGCATGCGCGAGTGTTTAAAACAGGAAGTTAAACCTGAACGTGTAATTCGGTTTCGCTTAGCGTGTGTGAACGCAATACCGAATCGAATTCCTCACGAAAAATTCGGATTATAGAAATGCGCATTTTTGCAACTGTAGTGTGAATGGGGTATTAGTTTACAAAACACTCAATTCATACAAAACCTCACTTTTCCGAGATTTTACCTTATCACTTTTATTTCTCCTCTGAAGAAATTTTTTCAAACATGTTACCAAAAAAATATCATCTACATCAGTTTGTTTTGGGAAAAAATATTAAATCGCCATGTTCAAATTTCCTGAGTCATTACCGTACTGGCCACTTACCCCAGATATCTGACCTGGTGTCTCACTAAGTGTTCCTCAAACACACGCGCCCTCTTCTGTTCATTGGGCTGCAAAGAAATAGTCAGTGCAATAATAAATAAGGTAAAAAAATTATTAGACAAGTAACTAATAATAATAATAATAAATTTTACTTGGCAACTGAAAGCTGGATATTTCACTCAAACCCAGTCTACTGAAAACTGAAGGTGAGATTGAAACTGGCATCTTAAGTCACTGAGGGTCGTATCTACCATGGAACCTTAAAAAGAGAGAGGTATTAACCTTAGTATATCCTATCCAAAACCATAGAGAACTTACAATCCACAGACCTTTGATATCATCATAAGTGAAATTCATTACTGAACACCTTAGTGATTAAAGGGACATTGTTCAAATATCTATTAATGTTCACTGTGTACCTTTAAGTTTTTACACACTTCAATGGACCATGACTGAAATGTTAATCAATAATGGCTCTCTAATGACTATCATAACACGAATAACCACTACCCAAAACCCCTTCAGTTTGTTTTAATGGAGACATATCTGTCAAAACACCTGGGTTGCTGAGATCGATGTAGTAGTACTACTTATTATTTTAATCATTAATAATAGTATGTTACCAACAACAGAATATCATCATAAAACAAACAATTTATATTAATTTTTTTTCAAGGAGTAGAAATAACAACACTGGCCATTTTGAGCATAATCTGCTTTTTTAAATATTTTTTATCATTTTAATTCAATAAATTTCATCTCTCCTGTAAATTGCATTATCTAATATTACGGCAACCTCCCTTTGTATGTTACCACAAGAAATACTGTGAATTTCAAATTTCTTAAATATTAATTATGATCCTAGATGACTTCCCACTGCAGCAATTTTATCACAGTTAAGCTAATAATGTGATGTTGTTTTCTGAAATCTAATTCGAGATTTCATCCTTGTGAGTAAAGCACCCTCAGTCTTGGAAGATGTTTGTATTACGCACTTAGGCAATAAATGTTTAAATATTTCATCACCCCGGGTTCTGTGGGCTATAATAATGGGAGAGTTCCAAACTGAATTTCTACCGTGACAATTCAATTTCATGTGCAAAGAGTAAATAAATGATGACATGGCTGTCGTACTTGGGGAGGGTGGGCAGGGGAGGGGGGAGTGTTCCAAACTGCAGGGATTTTCCAGTCACAGTTCAGTCCATGAGCAAAGAGCTGCCAGATGTTTACAAGGTTGTCATAAAAAATAAGTTATACATGTGTCACCAAGTTCACCCCCCCCCCCAGAATATGACCCATATTTGGCAGGTGCAGTAATTACTTAAAAATTCCCTATATGCCTCATTCATTCAAATATTTCACATTTTCAAGATTTATGATTTTTAGTTAATTGATAAAGTGCTTTCTGCCATGCTGTAGAGCCAACTCACTTTTGAAAACTTATGAATCAACAAAGTCAAACATTGTTTTTAAGAACATTATCTTAAAGTATGTTGTTCCAATTTAATAAGTAATTGCCATTAAAACCGTAATTAAATTTAAGGACAACATGTACACTTGAATCATACAAATGACACAGTATAGTACCGAGTGCTTTGGAACAGAAACAAAACTTATCCAGAGAGGGTAAAAACTTGAATACATAAACCAGCCTGCAAATTAACTTGTATCACAAAAATCTTAAGTCAGTTTTTGAGTTAAAATTTTACGTCAAATAAGACTTAGCTCTTTAAGTGTGAAAGGTCACTCACCTTGTATTTTCAATCTTTTAATTATACCCTTGAGAATATTGTAAACTTTGTAAGCTCTCAGAGGTAAAACTACCCTAATTACGTATGCCATATACACATTCACTACAATTCAACAATTCTCAAAAGCAGTCTGACCAATATCAGAAAGTCATCTTTGTACAGCCAGCTATCCCATTTCAGTAGTCTCCATAAGCTTAGCCTAAGATGTTTAGACTTTTTGTGAAAAAGTGTCTTGACTGACAGCCCCTTTGTGCTGAACAGATATAACAATTACAAACTAAGGACATCAAATGAAATACACTGCCAGTTATCAACATGTCACATGGCCCTCCTGTTGTTTCTATACATATATATTCCAAATAGCACTGTTCCTTCATGTTCTCAAATTGTCACGTACTTTCAGCTTCATCATGATGGTAACCACACTTACATGTCCTTATATTTCCATAATTATTCCACATATATCAGTTTAACATCTGGCCTAATGTTGGCCAAGTGTCCAAGCTGTACACTAAAGATACTTCAACACATCGTTTCACACTGATCAAATGAACATGTATGTTTCTACAATATACCAATCTCCTAATCCACTTCTGCACTGTACCAGTAATAGTTCAGTCATTACAATGCGGAACCAATTCTGGTTTTCTTGATTAGAAGCCAGTAGATCCATTTGAGCACTTTGCAAGCATTGTGATCAGACTACTGCCTAGGGTCTACAGGAAGTAAGAAATTTCACAGAACATCAATCAAATGATATCCCTATAGAATTGTGAACTTTCTGGTGGTAAGAAACTACAGAGGAATACACAAGCAACAAGTAAGGCATCACATGTATCCTGGTATTGAGTTGTGACTTGAGCCCAAAGGTACCTTGGACTCAAGCCACTGATCTTATGGTTGCACATTCAGAAGATTTATTGCAACAAATATATATCAACAAATATAATGGTAATTACATGCATTATGAGAGTATACAAATCAAATGTAGAATGAAACTAATTTTACAAAGAAAACACTTCGGTAATTTATTGAGCCAAATTGAATTCTCAACACTGGAAACAACCTCTGCAACCAAATCTTATCATACATGGGATCAATTCCAACACATTTGAGTAGTCAAAATTAGATAACATTGTGATTCTCACACAACCCTGCTTTAATAATGGACCCCTAGAGCCATGGCTACAATGATCAATTTTTTTGAATCACAAATAATATAATATAATGGTAAATAACCCTCAAGTTTGCACCAGTTACTATTTCATATATTAGATGTTTATTTATCAACCGTCAGCACCTTTATTTGAAAGAGTTATCAGCTTCAGTTTCATCTTAATTTTGGGGATTTTAAAATCATCTTTTTACATGTTTCAGAACAAGCTGTGTTATCAAATGAAAATAAAAAAAAATCAGCATAATTAAGTTTGTGAGAAATTAATTATTGCTAATAGATTAAGTGAAAGATCACCTTATTTATTTTATACCAGTTGACATGTGAGCTTTTATATATCAGTAATAGAAATTATTCGAGACGACCTCAGAACTTGTGCAAAATCAAATGCCATTTTGTAGGATTTGGAGGAGAATAGAGCCAGTCATAATGGAAGATGAAGGGGTGTGGAATGGCAACAAATGAAAGCTGACAGAATTTATACATGGATATTTTCTGATTGTTTTCTAGAATTACTTTTGCAGTTGGTATTTTCCTTTTTTTTTTTTTTTCGACTGTTTTTTAACCAGGGTAGCATTCACAGCCCTCTCATCTCTGAAATATTAACCCCATCTCAGCTGTTTCCTCAGGTTTTATAGTCTTATATGACATTACAAAGTGCCGATTGGTTTCCAATCCACCAACATGTGTACCACCTTTGACAAAGACTTAAAAATAAACACCAAGTACATTATGACTGTTCCACAGTACTTATGTCCTATTTCTAGCCTAGCATCATGCACTTGTCTCTTAACGGTACAGCAGAGACACCTGTTATCATGTATAATGTAGCAGAATCAGGCGTGTTTCCAGCCAACCTGGATTGACCTAATTCTGTAAACTGTGACCTGCGGTTAATTTCAATAAAAAACTTGCAATCTAATGTTGGTCTTAACTTTTCAGCCTATGTTTAATTTAGCACCTTGTCTTTAGAACAAATTAATCCTGCAGCCATCGTAATTTTAAACTGTCTGTCTTATTACAATTAGCTAACCATTGGATGCCAGCCTAATTACTCCGTTTTCCCACCTATAGCTACTGTAATGTTAAACATTTATATGTGTTTTATTACGATTCGTTCACCATGGGAAGCCATCCTAATCCCTTTAATATCCCACTCACAGCCACCGTAATTGAGGAATACCATATCCCATCATACTTATTTTTCAGAATTTCTTTAGTTTAAACCTACAATTTTTGTGTGTTTAGAACAAACTTAAGGTTAATAAATTGGATTTTTTTTCTGCTGAGCCATCAATATATGTCCTGTCAAGTAAGGTTGCCTCAACTTGAGAAGAAACTCGACTTCTATCCATATCATGCAAAAAAAAAACCCGACTTGTGTTACAGCAGGAATTGTCCCTAGTGGATGTTTTCATAGGATACCCTGCTGTCTTCACACCATGTCAGCTGGCAAAGCTCCAGGAAAACAATACTCCACAGAGATTAACTCATCACAAATGATTCACAGAGACCTTCAGTCTATTTTTGGTCATTGTTCCTTCCTATCCTGAACCAAGTTCAAATTATACATACAAAAGCTACAAAAATAATGTAAATTAACTTCGTTTTTTTTAATTTTCTATAAACATTAAATTTTTAAGAAACCTGTTTAAATCAAGCAATCAGCAGGCTTTAAAAAATTTTATTAATACTTTTGATAATAACTGTTTAAAGATGAAACTATTTTAAAAACTTTGTAATTCATACCTTGATGCAGCGAATATAATTTGGATTCTTGGAGAGCAAATTTTTCATCAGCTCAGCCACAGACACTTTGAACTGGGAGCCGGCCGTCGGGGGGCGCTTCAAAGATATCTTGTCAGGATCACCTGCAACAAGAGCAATTTGATGTTTTCTCTTCCAAAAAGTTCTTAAAACTTTAATATATTGTAATTAATGTCATTCAATTTCAAATTAAATAAAAATTTTTATAAATATCCCTGTGCTTTGTTTCGAATTAAAAAAAAATGTTCTGTATCCATATTGCAGCAAAAACCAGAGTGATGTAGACAAAAAAGAAGTGCACTTGTACAGGAACCACACAACTATTTTATACTCATCATTATTTCAAAATGAGCACAAATCTACGCATACATAAATATACACATATAAAGTGAGAACCAAACTGGTATTACAATTAACAATTCACTATATTCTGGACAAAGTCAAAGAAAGAGAGAGAGAGAGAGATTCTTCAGAAATGTCAGAGTAACATTGTTCCCCTTAAAGAGAATTCCATGTGTTTCATGCATAGATGGAGGTAGAACTTTTATACAAATCTATAAGATCTCAGCAGGTGTGTAACTCTGTGTGGGGGATTAGAGAGTTAAAAAATACAACAGTGAAATATCCAGACTTCTGAATGAATCCAGAAGATGTGCATTGTGCCAGCATGCGACATCTCACCTTCATCGCACACTGAATGCAGGGAAGGATAAAATAAATAACAAATGAAAGGGAGCACAATGGCAACAGTTATAAAATAACTCTACCATAAATAATTGACATTTTTCTATAATCCGTTGTAATAAAGAACATTCACATCTATATAATTCTTAAAAATTATTTTTGATATTTTTTTCAAGCAGCATTGAAGAAGAAAAGATAAGAAGCCTAAACTAAGAAAGAGGCCACATATTGATATTTCTTTAGAATGTATAGAAGTCTGCAATGCAGGACCATGCCAGCAAAATGGTGATGATAAATCTTAAAATGAATGAAAATTATTTTTTGGCTTTGTTGCCTATTAATGTGCAGTGAAGGAGGAGACACAACATGCAGAAGCATAAGAAAAGATTATTCTGGATTAGATTGTTTTGTCTGTAAGTTCATATAGCATATTTTGATTTTTGTTTTCTGTGAACACTGCCAAGGAAAACATATAGCTGTGTTGGTAGCTAGGTTAGGACATACTGTTATAATCTAAGTTCAGAAAAAAACAACTGCAGAACTAAGGATTTTGCTAGAGAAGACTGTGCTGTAGGGGAATGTGTTAGAGAAGATGATGAAAAGGCGTGTGTTAGAGGAGACTATGATGAAGGGGAATGCATTGGAGAAGACTAAAATGAAAGGAAATGTGTTAGAGAAGACAGCTCTGGAGCAGATTGTGTTAGTTGAGCAATTTCTTACCTTCTGGAAACAAATCCTTGCAGAGCGAGTGCTGACACTGGTACATGGCCTGGGACAAATCTCTGAACAACAGATCATTGTTTTTCTCCAGGAAACCATCCACTTTGTACACAACCTTGAAAAAATGAAAATATAATTAACTAATTAGTAATACAAGTCACAAAAAGGTGCTTATTATGTCCATATTATTACTGCAACACTGACAATTAATCGATTTTGTCCAAAACAAACAAACAATGATATACAGGTCCATGTCAATTTAAATGCAGCAATGAGAATAAATTGCCTGATCTGAATACCTTAATTATTGTTTTCTTTTAAAAGTTTCGTCTTTGAAAACTATATAATATGAATATTACCTTAAATAACTAGGATTTATTGACATTCTGGTCATGGTTAATGCCCAGGTATCCACCTATGTTACGTTTTAGTACAACACATTGCAATGTCTTCTGTCTAAGCTGACAAAGGAGAACTACAATAATTATAACTATTTACTGAGAACTGAAAATGGTTATATCATCTGCTTTTAATTGCAGAGTATATTTCTCTTTTTATCTTTCACTTCCAAACCCTCACCTCTCCTGCGTAGTGTCTCAACCTAAATGAGTCATGCGGTAGACTCTTGTCAGAGCGCGCCTTCTTTGTGCCTCGGCTCTCAAAGTGTGGGTGCTCACAGCACGTCTGGTTTAGCTTGTTCAAGAACGTGGTGTCCGTGACGTTGCCTGGTCGCAAACATTCTTCATCCAGCATTGCCAATATTCCAACGTTACTCTGCAAATGAAATTATATAAAATGAAACCATAAAGTAGTATACATCTGATTTTTTACTTAGAACAACTTTAAAATAAGATTTCTTGCTTTTCCAATTATTTCCTAATTTGCCTATTTCAAAGCTATTAAAACAGGGCCATGATAATTATGTCTGCTTGTCAGCAAGATATCACAAAATCTGTGTTCTACTTATCTTTGTGAAGACAACATCAAATAATTTACATCATCGTGATGAACCCCGTACCTTCTCAATGAGGTCACAGATCACAGAATTATCAAAGTAGTCAACGTGGATCCACTCTATCCCCTGAAAGACAACAGGAAAATTATATAGTAAAACAACAAAAAAAGTAAAAATACATGGTAGATATGAAACAATGGAATTCCACCTTTACCTTGTGAACACATTCAAAATTAAGTTTGACAAGTAAGTTGTATATGTAAAAGTATTCAGGTATGTAAAATTTAATTATAAACTGCAAGGATAACAAAAAGAAAGAAAACAGGAAAATCCATTAGAAAGATGAAAAAAGATGTACTGAAAAATGGTAGCTCTGAAACAACTGGATCCCACCTTTATCTTCCACACCTTAAATTTGATGCATCAGCCATATCAAACGGATTGAACTACAAGTACGTCACACCTAACACACTGTCACACCTATCTCAATGCCTCACCTCTCTGATATACTCCTCCTGTTCCTCCTTCAGTGTGAGCTCTATAAAGATCTGCTGTAGTTTCTCATTGCAGTAGTTGATAATGAACTGCTCAAAGCTATTGCTCTGAAACGAAACATTTCAAATATATAACATGGAAGCAGGGTCGGTGGGTGAAAAGTTCATTCTCAGTCATAATTAGATCTTACTAGCTTCTAAGCCATTTCTAAAGTTGTCAGTTGGAAGGTCAACATTTTGACAAAAAGAATCCAGTCTGATTTTGCTGACTTCGGGCCAGGTATAAAACAGTGGATTTGACACTTAAATAATCATCTAAAATCAAAACCACTGAAGTCAACTGCTTTAATTACATAATATCATTTGCTTTAAAGTCAAATATAAGAATTGAATGATAGCCATGATGCAAAAAGGGTGTGAACAGTAACACCTCAACAGGTTTTAGTTTCAGCATCTACCTACAGATGGTGTTAGTGATGATCTTCATTTACATATTCATCAGATCATTTACTTACTTCAAATATTTCAAAGCCATATATATCCAGAACTCCCATGACTTTCTTCTTGCCTGGTGTACGCACCTGAATGATATGAAAAAAATTATATATGCATACAAACAAAGAAATTAATCAGTGTTTTACAGTTACTGGAATGAGGATAACACTTGTTCTGGTGTCAAAGAAATCAAAAAGAGCAAGACACTAAAATAAGGCTTGATAATATATGAAAATTAAAGTATTATGTCACACCAACTGAGTATGAGATTAAAAGAGTAAAATGAATAATGATAAAAAGAGTAACATAAAACAAAGTGAAAGTAAAGTCAACTAAATGGTAAAGTAAACTTTTAAATGTTAATAATGAAATTTGAACATTATAGGTTGAACTATTCTGCATATTAGTCAATATAGCCTTGTTAAGTTAATAATTTCTGACACCTAATAGGGTTAAAAGCTAACCTGAAAGCTGTTAAAGGGACAGATAAATAACAAGGTAATTCAACATAAAATGGTGAAAATGATTCTGAATTTCGACTTCAAAAACTCAATAGACAGTGTAAAGATGCACCATAAGAGGACCAAATAACCTTGGAATTTTTTTATTTAGAGTGCATACTAAATAATGGAAATAAAACAAAGGGTATACCATGACTTTGACAGTGACAGTGTGGTATTTAAGAAGCAGATTTATCTGTAATATAAAATTGGCAAAATGTGGCCCAGCTAAGAAGAAAAATAAAGGGGAAATGCAAGAGGAATATAATGAATATTGAATAAATAATGGAACCAAAGCATAAGATGGCATTAAATGACTTGTTAATGATATACAGGGGGTATATTCAGGAAGAGATGTGATGGTAAAAGATATCGAATTTCAATCAAGAGTTTGTAGCAGAGGTTAACCACAAAGTTGGCCAATGCATGGCGTTTTCTTATTTAGTGTGAAGAGGTTTAATTGTTATTAAACTATATCATAAAACCATGTGTAACTCTAAAACATGCAGCATCTGAATACCAACATTTAGCTCCCAAAATATTTAGAGCCATCTTTAAACCAGCAGACTTGAAAGAAATGAGGCAAGAATTTGTTAAGTATTAATAGCATTAACAGGAAACCAGATAATCATTATGTATTAACAATTCTGGTTGAAGAGATTGACAAATGATAGAGTAAATTGTAAATTGACAGAGTTAGTAGTCTGTCTCTCCCCCTATATATATATACATACATGTATAGTTTTAATATTTAGCTCTTTTTGTGAAGACAGTTTGTTAAATTGAGTAATGCAGGAATGGGGAAAGCTAGGAGACCAGGGAAGGATGGAAGCTCTTGCCAGGTATTATTCATTACAAAAAGAGAACTTACCATAATAGTTTTCTGAAGAAGTGGAATAGCCCAGGAGGACAAAGATGGTTTACAACATATATTTTTAATTTCTTATAACTGTATATTTTGTTAAATTTTAGTAGTTTCTGGTTTTATATCCTAACAACTGAATACCAGATTATATAAAATAAAGTGCTTATTTAATAAGTAGTTTGTGAAGAGAGTCAGTAAAGGTGCAATCTTGTATTATTTATGTGAAATAACAAAAACTCAGATTAAGCATAAGATCAAATAATAATAATAATGATGATAATATAAACAACAAAATTAAAATATAAAATAAAAAATTTGACAGATATACCCCGTCTCAGACTATTAAGATATTAATTTTGAGCAGCAACCCAATTTATCAACTTTTTACAATAACCCTCCATTCTTCTTTCCTTCTTCTTATCCCCAGTAGAGTTTAATATTCTAGATTATATTAATTGCTCATCATTTTCTAAAGTGATAATATTTAAATAGCTATCTTCATAATCAGCATTATGCTTACTATACATAATTCTTTAATTCTGATAATTATCACCCCCC